GGGGGGGGGACGGTAACCGAGTGTTGATACCCATGAAACGTCTGACAATACTCTCCCTCTCTCATTATAGATAATCTCGTTCAACCATACTCTTATTGTCTGCGTAAGCTACGTCGAACAGGTTGAACGAGACTACTTTATATATGGATTGACACTGGGAAAGTTGTCACACGGCTTATGATTTCATGGTAAGTAATTTTCTTTCGACTCTTTAATATTTCTGTTTGATCGTTTTAGTTTTAATTATTGTTTTGTGTCGTTTCAGAATCCGTCCGAGGAATATGAGTTCCATGTATTACAGACAAAAGGACCCCAAACCCAAGGCCATACCTGCATATGGGTTCGAGAAAAAGAAGGCTTGGGAGGTTCGAGACATCACAGAGCGTCTAAGTCGGCCGACGTATAACCGCCGACTGTCTGCTGACGAGCCGACACACATGCATAACTTCGACAGAAGTCGGGAGAGTAGTGCGTTAAGAAACCGCACGCCGTCTTCGTGTGGGCGTCGTTCGGCACAGAGTTTGAGTGACCGTCAGCGAAGTGCGACGCGTCGTCTCACAGATCGGGAAATGCAGAGACTCATACGACGACTCCAGAGACCCACCGAAAGTTATGCAATAGCTTTAACGGAACAGATGGAAGAACCAATGGATTCGAAACAAAGTCGTATGGCTCGAACGCCGATCTCGGAGGAACAGATATCGAAGACGGTTAGGCGTCTGCGTCGGCCGACTACCGCAACAATGGCTAAAGACTTAAACCAGTGTCATTTGTGTTATGAACACGAGAATAAAAAATCTACGGATCCTCCCGACGCTTTTGATTACGATTACATAATGGACAAATCTCTTCCGCCGGAAGAACTGGACTATGTCGTAAGTCGCATGCGCGTGAATACATGTTCAAGTGCACATGGGCGTCGTTGTGTTAAAACTCCAGCAACGGCCTATTTCGACGAAGTGAAAGCGCGGGAAAATCTTCCGCTTCTTAGTGGCTTGGCTCGAAGTAAAAACGTAAAAGAAATTACGAACAGACTTCATCCAAAACCTCGTTATCGCTTGGTATCGGCAGCGACACCTATCACCGTTTACTGATATCGTTCATGTTCGGCAATTCCCATTCCTGTTGACTGTACTATTTATAGATTTACGATACACAGCTTGTTAAAACTTACTAATTTTGCACCGTTTAATGATGTTCTTTATTAAATTATTATTTACTAATTATTTCCAGAGGTTTTTGTTCGATGACCATTATGTCCGCACAACATGCGAAATATGACCTATCACGTGTACTAAATGTCACCATCGGGTAGTCCTAAAGTTTTGTAGGGACATGGAAGAGACCTACATTGACATGCTTGCCCTATGACATCACAAAAAAATACTCCGAAAACATATATAGCTTAATATAGGTTGATTTCTGTCTTACTCCGATTTCAGCTCCCAAATGGGAAAGGAATTATACCTGAACAACGAGACCTTGACCTAAGTCCTTTGACCTCGATACTTTTGACCCGAGTGACCTCATCAAACATCATTCTCAGCAACCACAGGGACCTGATAATTCGTTACAGCTCTATTTGAACCTAAATTAAGACGTTCAGAGTAATTCTACACGTTTTGGTACAATAATCAGTGGAAGAGGGGGGGGNAAACGTGTAAAATTATACTGAATCCTTAGTTAAGGTCCACCTTTAGCTGTAACAAGTTCTCAGGTCCCTGTGATTGTACCATGCCGACTTACTCTGAATGGAGGAATGCATGAAACCGGTGTAAGCGTTATTTTACAATTACTGTTTGGGCCAAATGACCCTGTGACATTTGTCGGCGACATTTACCCTTCAATAAGTACGTGTAAATATATTGTACTTGATCAATTCTTCAATTAAATTGAATATTTTATGCACGCTTCTATCTAAGTTTAGTAATATGAAATTCTAATCAATTAGTTGTTGAGAAATAAAGTGTCAAAAGAATTCAACAAAGCGATCCTCTGAAGACAGCCAATAACACGACTTTCACATCTTATTACAAGGTCACAGCTTCATAGGTCCTGATAAGATTTTGACCGTCTGGCCATTTGTGATGAAGATGAAAATGGGCGAAAAAGAGGATGGACAATTCTTGTCACAACGACAGGAACATGTGCAATGCATGATCAAAGATAAATGACCATTTGTATTCTAATAAAAATGGTTCTGAAAACGGTATATATGAGAACATATTGCGGTATACCAACAGTGCCAAGCGATAAAAGCTACATGATTAATTGAGAATGAAGAACATGAGCAAGAACCATTTAAGATATTATCATTTAATTATAACTGGAAGAAGAATTTAGGTTTGAGCACAATATCCATGCTTAAACATGAGAACGGTTTCATGAATACACTCCAAGGTCTTGTATTCATGAAACCTTTCCCATACTTAAACTCAGATCTGTACTCAAGCCAAGTGTCTTGTTCAAGCAATTAATAATAAATCCCATTTTGTCACAGACTTTGAATAACTTTAGTGAGACGTGTAACCGAACAACGTTTTCATTATTCAGACTTGACTTTTTAACCATGGAACATGTCGTATACAAGGCGCAAGAAAGCTGATTTGAGCTCAAAATTCATGCTTGAGCAGAAAACGAGTTCATGAACAGCGTCAAGCGACTGGAGCTGTAGACTGGGGAGCGTGGACAAGTCCAGTCGGTCAGGAACGTACAGACCATAGCTAGTTTGACAATTACCTCGACTTACTAGCCGCTCAAGTGGATGAGAAAGTCTGGATGCTGGAGGCAAAGTTCAGAGTGGTGGTAAGATAACAATGTACACAGTGGAGGACAAACAAGCAGAACACAACACAACGTTATTGTGGCATCTTGATTCGTTTGAAAGACAGGAAGGGAACACGGAAGAGGAGACGATGACGGGAAAATTATTCTCCCGCTTCTTTATATAACCCAGGTTGTGGAGTGGTGAAGTTTACGTAGATATCTCATATATATGTCTGTGGACTGTTATTGTTGCATTTGAAATTTAGATTTAGCTGATACTACCCACAGGACGTTAAAGAACGGTAACTCGTATAGTGTAAATGACATAGGGTCCAAAGGTCGAAATAAGACCACCTTATCCTACATAAATGCATCATCAATACAGCCGTGATATATTTAATCCACAGAAATAGTTATATCACTCCTTAACAAAACAGTAAAGCTTTCCTCTTATTCAACATTCCATTTTTACCGGGATCCAAGGACATATAATCTATCAAAAATATGGATGAGATGGCATTAATGTAGAGGGTACTACTACATCAGTTACAATCTGGAAGAAGAAGAGTTCCACTTTCAGGTGTTTAGACTTGGCGTAATCTCCCTTCTATATAGAAGATGACCAAATTACCTTTTTTTCTGACCAAGTATAATTTCACTTGTCAAGATTTTCACATGCTTAGCAGCAAATAAATTGGACATCCATGTTGATGCTATGGTTGTATAATTCCTGTACAGCAACATTGACATAGTGTAGACTACCAAAGGTAAAGTCTCAAGTCCAACCCCTGCATTTTTGTATTTTCTTTCTCCATTTCTACTTTCAGAACTATATTTTTGTAAAACGCATGGTTTCATGTGTAGTTTGTGGAATATTTCTTCAGGCCAGGTGAGCTAACAATGACAGTATTAAATTTTAACTTGCTGGTACCCTTTAACGTAAATGTAACTTAATATGCATGATTTGTTATAATTCCAATTAACTCTCCTCTCACATTAACAAAACACAGGTATCCCAAGGAAAATAATGACGTTTAAAACACAAGAAAACTCTTCAGAATCTGTGTGATATCTTTTATCATCCATTTTAAATGCAATTATAACACAGTACAACATGGAAAATTTCAACATCTTGGCATGTAATTATTGAGAAAAAAATTGTATTTGATTTTGAACAAAAGAGTTGGAATATGCTACCTGCAGAGGTAAATCACAAGTAAAGCAGATCACATGAAGGCTATCATTAAAACAACTAAGCTAACACAGCATTCGTACAGGGTCTTTAAAATCAAACTTAAGGAGGTATGCTACCTTTAAACCTGTAATTTGTGTCAAGAGTTATTTCCCTTAGAAGTTTCCATTAAATTGACCTGATAATTTTGATGAACCTGACATTTATCACTGTATGAAATATTAATGTTTCCTGTCAAATGACTTCAGGGACCAAATTAAGGATGAATGCTTTATCATTCTTGTGAGGTGTGTTAAAGTTATATCCCTAGATGATATTAAAATAAACATAAATCCAGCTCAAAATTACCATACATGCATTTTTTTAACATATAAAGGTATATCCTATTGACAAATAATCTTTTAAAGAGGAAGTACAGAAGTGACCGTCAACTATCCCTGTACATTTGTAGTTTTTACCTTATCTTCCCCTACCTATAAATACCTGTACATTTGTAGTTTTTACTTTTATGCAATCGTTTGCTGGATAACCGAACCCCTCGGTAGTGAAGCGGACGTAAAACCTATCAATCAATCAATAGTTTTTACCTAATCTCCACCTACCTTTACACACAGACATATCTCTATATCAACCATTAACATTCCTGAACCTACCTCAGTTATACTTTTACAACCAAATTCAGAAATATTCCTTCATTTGTTGTTTAACACGTCTTTCAAGCTTTCACCTTCTTGGGATATTTTTATAAAATGATTGGTATGACTTTTCTTCAGTGGATCTCAAATGTTACCCAATAATAGGTATTTTTACTGGTATTTCTAATTTCATTCATTCATTTTGTTTTTATGAATCGTTGAAGCCTGTACATACGGTGTTAGACCTCGATAAAACAAGGAGGGGCCTAAACCTCAATACTCTTTGAGGGTAGATGGTTAGCGTCAAACAGAGAAACAAGGAGGGGCCTAATCCTCAATACTCTTTGAGGGTAGATGGGTAGAGTCAAACAGCACTAAGGGAAAAGATAACATCATCAGATAATACTGCATTGAAATAAGACCATCTCACAGCGTACATTTAAGAACAAATGGTCCTGGACATGTCAAAACTTTACATTCTGGAAATCTCAAGATAAATGCAAAACTATAAATTTATGTATTTCAGAAAACCAAATCTTTACTTAGAGTTACTCTTACTGACGCTTGCCTCAATTTGTCAACAACTAAAGCAAAGAATCTTTGCAAAACTTAAACCTTTTTCTAATACTTCTTTCCCAGAGGTCTTAATTAATACAATATAGTGATAAACCTGACTCATGTTCTAAACATCATTCAGTCTTTATCATGATTTCATTTATATTTTGATCAACATTTTTTTTTCAAATCATGCACAATTAAAGAAATAATTACGACTTTGTAACATCCTATTTTATCTACACCAGAAGAGAAATGAAGTTAAATGTTTCGTACCGAGAGTACTTAAGGCAAAAAAAATATGAAATTTTCAGTTTTCCCAAAATTCTTGGCCTTTTAACATATCTCCCGACAGTGCTGAAATATTAAATCATAATAAATCAATAATTCATCAGTATTTTTATAATTAACTTAACAGGACTTTATTTATAAGCATCAGAAACCTATTTATTTCCTCAAACATTTTCATACAGGGCTATCTCGTATTGGTTTCCAGGAAATCTCAAAACCAATGTTACCTGGATGATGTTTTGATAAAAACCACTCAATCTATCGGCATATGATAGTACCATACATTTATGTATCAAAAATATTCTGTATACATTCTTTATCTTCTTTTAATCAATTAAGTGTACAGCCATTTAAAAAGTCACGAATCAGCTTTGTATTAATTATGAATAAAACCTGACCTAATTCTATAGCATGCTGCCTATACATACATGGGTTGACAATGAGGATGGGAGAATTTGCACACAACATCTACTTGAGCAGGACCTGGACTTTTGTCATAAAGCAATATTAGACTGAAGTCCAGATTTAACTGTCAATGAAATAAATATTCCTCTTGGAAATCAGAATAAATTTGGTGAAATTGTCCATATTAAAATCTGTTCCTGTACACATATATACACAATGTATTTTACATTTGATATGAAATGACAATCACACAATCGAAGTTTAGGATAAGTCTACATTCTTCCATCATCACACAGCCAGCAGTCCATTACTTGTTAGGGTCTTATATTCCTCAACAATGCCGTCACAGACATAAAACAAAATAACAAAAAATATAGGTTTGTTGTAATTTTATAAACTTTTATACCATCATGTTCTATTTTTGAACGATACTGAGTAACACAAGATCAATTGTAGAATCTTTCCTTTCCAATTATTCCAATACAAAAATATTCATGAAATTGTGTCAAGCATATATTCTAAAGTCAAAAAACAAAGTAAAAAGAAATAACAACACAAGGGAGGTAATCCAAATGTGTTGATTTACTAAATTTTACCAGTGATAACAAACATTCATTTGGACACTGTATATGCCCATATTTGGTGATAAGCCTATTACCTAATACAAGTTTAAGGACACTAGAAAATGCATCTCTTTCAGTTTCTTTGGACTACTGTATATATGTGTGTTCCTGAAATATCTCTCCAGGTCCAGATATTAAATCACAAGATAAAATTGAAAAAAAATCTTAATGTATAACTATCCAGTTAAACTGGGTTTTTCCCCATTATATGACCCTGTTTGTCACATATGAGGACAAAAACTTCAGCTTATACAGGTAAACAAAGCCCTATCCACTACAGAATAATATTATTATTCAGATATATACACATTAAATTGACAGAAAATACATAATCTGTGTAGGAACTGAACATTATCAATAGTGTAGTTAGTGTCCATCTAGAGTTTGGAGGTTACAGGTTCAAATGCTGGTGTGGCTTTGGTTTGGTTTGATCGTGTTTTACGTCCTATTAACAGCTATGGTCATTTAAGGATGTGCCAGGTTTCGATGGTTGCGGAAAGCCGGCGTTCCCAGACAAAAAACACTGACCTATGGCCAGTACCTGGCGACTGCCCCACATGGCTCTTGAACCCATGACCCTGATCTCTATTTCATGGTCTGGCTGTTAAATTATTCTTTGCACTCAAAAAACACACCCATGGAAGTTGGTATGAGGTCTCTTAGACCTTTGGAGTCGAAAGCTTTGTTCAAGCAAGAGGGAACATGGTTAAACCGAGATGGATCAAGCACTGGGACTATATGTAGCTCAGTGGGTTTGAGCATCGGTCTCTAGTTAAGAGGTCCCTGGTTCGACTCCCAGTCTGACTGTTGTATTTTCTCTCCTGTTACCATTTCATCAATTGTTTTCAGTAATAAGTTTAGACACTGATATCTTAATACTATATTTATTGGGTAATGATTTCACTCATATCCATCACAGTTTGGAAGAACTTTCTTTTGTGTGTTTTACGTCCTATTAACAGGGTTTGGTCATTTAAGGACTTGCCAGGGTTTGGTGGTGGAGGAAAGCTCGAGTTAACAGAGAGAAACCTCTGCCCTACCAGTTCCTGGCGACTGCCCCACGTAGGTCCAAACCTGCGACCCAGCAGTTGAGGGCCAGTGGTAGCAGCATGTCAGACACCTTAACCTCTTGGCCCCCACGTAATAAGCCTGTCCCCTATTTTAAGCCAGATATTATGTCAATCCAATATGGCTGCCTGCCTACCATTTTGTTTATCCGATCAGTCATAAAAGTTGCCCTGCACAACTAAAGTCTAAGGGAAACTCTCCGGTACTTCTTGAGAAATAACACTAAAAGAATTGTTTAAGGACGGACCACGGACGCAGGGTGATTTGAATAGCCCACCATCAGATGACATTACAAATAATTTTATTTACCTTTTTTTTTTAATTAAACATGGTTGTTTGAACCGACTATAATACAAAAGTAAAGAATGCAACAAACGTTTAAAGGACTTTGACTGTCAAGTCATTTATACTCTTACACACGGAATAGAGGAACACATACAAGCTTATATTTGAACTGTAAAATATTTTACACTTTCATTTCTTTTCAGCATTAATGCATTGATAACACAAAGTATACAAAACATCGACACAGTAACACATTGTTTCAGGAAAAAGTCTGGTTAGCTTGATGACAATGTAACAAACACTTTAGTCGAATATAATTTCCAAAACAAAAAATAAAAGCTTACATCGTTTCTATACAAATTCAGATGTCTGAATCTAATAAAAATACACAGAAATACATTTGATTTCAGACTTTTTAAAAAAATGATTTTTTTGACAATTTCTGATAATGAGTCAATTATTAATCAGGATTTATGGTGTAATTTTCGTATTACATATAAAATATTTCAAGTAAAAAAAGTGTTTCTGATAATAGGAAGGTATCTTAGATAATGTATAAGGTATCAGAAGTCATTAGTGATTCAGTATAACTCTAGAAAATGTCTGTCTGCTATTTCTTTTTCAGCTATTCATAATTACTGTGTAAGTTTAATGGTTTCCTGTTGAGTACCAGGTATATTTCACAACTATGGCAGAATAACAACTTTTTTCTTAAGTGTGAAACACAAGTGAAAATATCTGTATCTTTTGCTGTACTTTTGAAATATACATGGTATTGGATTGAAAAACCATCAAAGTTTCCATTTATTACAATTTTAAACTACAAATAGCGAGAAAATCTTACTTCATCAAATAGGTTGGGATTGAATAGTGTAATATTTGGCGCCATATAATTCTAATGACAAAACACATGATAATATCTGGTGAGATTTATGTAAAACATTATCAGACAGTTGTGTATAATATACGAAATATCTTAACCCTTTCACCACTGAACACCATAATGGACTCATCCATATCAATGCACAGTAGAGTCTACTAAAGTTACATAGGGGTGAAAGGGTAAATAAATCTAATGAAGATGTACAAGTTAGCCACTTTTTCTATTGTCACTTCATCTGTTTCTGACAAGAAAATCAGAAGCTTTTGATGTTTAATTAGGAGGAGCTGTTTTGACTGGTCGATACCAAATGTTATTTTCACACTACGATACATATTACTTTAGATATATCTGTCACAGTGTGATACATATTACTTTGGATATATCTGTCACAGCGTGAAACATATTACTTTGGATATATCTGTCACAGTGTGATACATATTACTTTGGATATATCTGTCACAGCGTGAAACATATCAGTTTTATCAAGTTAACGGAATCAATAAATCACCGGCAGAATTGCAATGATTTAACATGAGACATTCCAACATACCAAAAATAGCATAAACCCTTTCACCGCTGTAGACCATAATGAACTCATCCATATCAATGCATGGAAGAGTCTACTATGATAACATAAGGGTGAAGGGTTAAACAATAATGATGACAATAAAGGAAGATTGAATTAACTCCCATGGAATAATTGGAAACCTTTGTGCTTTAAAATACCTTTGTAGCCCTGCAAGAAAAACAGTCTAAAAATTATTTTTTTCAATTATTGCTATAGAACATAACTATATCTGATAGGTGAGGTTATTGCCATTGTCTTACACTACTGTAAGTATTGGGTCAGAAAACATCACCAAGAATTTTCTAGGAAAAAGAACAGGAAAGAATTGAAACAAAAAATGGGATATTTTTATTTTTTTTATACAATACCGAGTTATGATATTCATTTTATCCCTCTTTTAAATCAAATTTTACAGCTTGAACGGTTTCCCCACACAATCTATAAAGAACTGCACATGCCCATGGGCAGAAAATAATACAACATATTTTGGTGAATAATACACTACACAGTACAAATAGCTCTGTTCCTACTCGTCATTTTGTTCTCTAGAAGGTGTTTCCTGTCCACTAGAATCAGGGAGTGACGAGGAGGAAACTACTTCCCCTTCCTCTGATTGCGACGACTTTTCTTCCACAACATGGTTTTCTTTTAATTCTGTTTCTTGTTTAACGGTTTGTAGTTTCTCACTTGGTGAATCTGACTGTACAACCTCACTAGATTCTATATTACTCACGTCCGTTTCAACTTTTATTGATGACAAATCTTTACGACTTTCGTTAACAACATTTGGTGTCTCTTGACTTTGATTTTTAACACTGTGTGTCTCAGAACTTTCTGTAGAAGGACTTTCCTCTGTTTGTTGCGCAGTTTGAGGACTTTCTATAGAGCGACTTTCTAGTTTGATTTCACCGACAGATTCCACAGAATCTACTGGCCTGCCTTTCTCCGTTTGTTCATGAACTGAATGTTTTGTGTCAAGGTTTGCTAACGATTGATCTGGAGCTGCATATTTTGTGGTATCGACGCCACCTAGTGGATCTTCATCCATGTAGTCGTCTTCGTCGTCTTCTACGTACTCCTGTTCAGACCTTGCGTCGGAGAAGTCAGGCGTACCGGAACTTCCCGGAGATTTCTCCAAGTCTTGTGTGTTTTCAAACTCGCTCTGTGAATCTTGTTTATTCACAGCCTAGTGAGAGAAATGCGAGATGAAATATTTGAAATTTACACTTGCACAAATTCCTCTACAACACATTCTGTAAATGATTTAAATCTTACTTCTGTGTGTGGTCACTTTTATATCTTAAATGAACTTTCCTTTTAACAAACGCTTCAAATCATTGAAAACATTGTCAAGTATAACAGTTTAGACTAAACATACTCAAAAGAGTTCTTTTTTACTCAAATTTATCAACAAGAAATAAAGAATTCTTGTAACGTGTGAAATCAGTAAAAAGTGATAGGAAATGCCTAAATTAAATTAATCTATGGGTTCATCATATATATCAAACAATTCCATCATTACTTTATAAAAGATTGGTATATATAAGTCTTTTACAGTAACCACAAACTAACACGAGACTTAACTTTTGCCTTGGTTTTATCAAACCGATATTATTCAGTGCTGATTTCACATCCGCAGACTTAACATACTCAAATGAAAGTATTCCGCAGACTTAAGGTACTCAAAAGAATGTATTTCATATTTTTATTTATCTTCTTATCTAAAAAAACACAGCAAGAATTTAGAGTTTTAGAGTCTGTACCTGCGGGTCAACAATTGGGATGGCTGTCTTGGCTCGACGTACTGGGGACCGGTGTGGACTCTTGAACTGGAGTTCCGGTGGGTAGTATGTGGTGCCTGGGGGTGGACTCTTGTATTGTTGTAGTTCGGGAGGGTAGTAGGTCGTCCCACCTCGGTACATCTCTCCCTGCTGTAACTGTAAATAAACAGTTTTTATCAATTCTCAGAAATGAATTAACCAGTTTGCATCAGTTCACAGAAATGAATTCAACAGTTTGCATCAATTCACAGAAATGACTTCAACAGTTTGCATCAATTCACAGAAATGAATTAAACAGTTTGCATCAATTCACAGAAATGAATTAACCAGTTTGCATCAATTCACAGAAATGAATTAACCAGTTTGCATCAATTCACAGAAATGAATTAATCAGTTTGCATCAATTCACAGAAATGAATTCAACAGTTTGCATCAATTCTCAGAAATGAATTAACCACTTTTTATCAATTCACAGAAATGAATTAAACCAGTTTGCATCAATTCACAGAAATGAATTAACCAGTTTGCATCAATTCACAGAAATGAATTAACCAGTTTGCATCAATTCACAGAATGAATAGCATCATACAATGTTCAGTAAGAAAGATTTGAATAAATTATCCATAGAGTTGGTCATAAATTCTATAAATAGCTAGCTATATGGAAAACTGGCCTGAAACAATTTAGGAAAGTCGTGTATTAATCGATATAAAAAGTTTTTTTGGGGCATTTTCCCTTAAAATGATCTGAATATTACTAAGAGTTACTTCTCTTTCTACTAAATAGCCCTAATGAAATTGTTGGCGGATATATATGAATAACAGGAAGAATTCACTCAAGATTGAAATTGGTCTAAAGTGATCTTTTTGTAATACAAATGTAGACTCCTACGTAATCAGAACTGAGCCATATTTAGTACGCTAACTGAGGATCGGCTGTACAATGTGTTTGATTAAAACCACATTGGAGTTATATTTTCCTATGAGTCGCAAATAAATACTAAACATTTTTCAAACTGACACATTGAATTTTTTGAAAATGAATTAAACAAAATGAAATACAAAAATTGGAAGATAATATAGTATATCATACCTGTCCTTGCTGTGCTGGTGGAGGGGGAGGGGGTTGAGACGTGGACACCGCTGGAGGAGAAGGAAAGCCCTGCATTGGTACATTTCCTGGTAAAGAGACATTTCCTTGCATAGGGACATTTCCTTGCATGGGAACGTTTCCTTGCATAGGGACAGTTCCTTGCATGGGAACGTTTCCTTGCATAGGGACATTTCCTTGCATGGGAACATTTCCTCGTATGGCAACATTTCCTTGAATAGGAACATTTCCTTGAATAGGAACATTTCCTTGCATGGGAACAAGACCAGTGGCTACAGGAAATGGAGCAGGCGGTGCACCGTACATCATCCCTGTGTTGATGAACTGTGGTGGTTGTATCTGCATGGCTGATGTCATAGTGACTGGGGGTCCCGTAGTCCTTGGTGGCACAAACACCTGAGGTGGCTGTGCAGGAATTCCTCCAGTTGATACTGTAACATATATTTTAACTCTTAACATGTGTCTTAAATAAATGTGCTATAAATATTCAAAATATCTAAATTATCCTAATCTTACCATATATGGTATTGTTCTATAATACAATTTAATCCAGAAAATAAAAGTTTCTACATTTGTAGTTCAGCTCTTTGAAAATTAAAATGTTTGTTAATGCCACCATTTCCAACATTGTTTTGACGCATTCCAACTTGTCTGTACAGCAACCAAAATAGTCATGACTTCCATCATTATTAAGAATATATAATTCAAATTCCTCAGCTTATCTGATAATAATATCAAATAAGGCAATGATATTTGAAGGCTGACCTGGTATGGGGAAGGCCATAGGGGCCCGCAGCATGGCTGACTGGAATGGAGGCGCTCCAGGACCTTCCTGCTTCACAAAACCTGGAAGATCAACATATCAAGTAAAGGAATTTCTAATCAGAAATAGCTTAAACAAATATCACAGTAGACAATATTCAAATTTTTTTTTAAGTTAGTGTTATTTCATCATTTGATGCAAGTTAATTCAAAAGATATGAAACAGATAAACCCACACATGCAAGGTGGCCATTTTGAAAATTATAAATGCAATGTACAAGAAATTGTAAACTTTTTAATTATTGTCTTGACAATATTTTCAACTCAACACATTGTTTTCCTAACAATGGTAATAAATAGTAAAAAACAAGTATAGCATTTAACACTTGTTTTTTATAATGATCATCTATGTCAATGGGGAAACAGGGAATAGATCAAAAACAAATTAAAGTCTTTAGCAATACTATGTTTCTGCTTACCTGGTGAGGGAGGTTTGTAAAACTTGGCATTCCGGCTCTGAACTGAAGGAGCCTTGCTGACAGGAGGTGGAGCCTTGCTCTCCGCAAAGGACGTCTGGGGAGGAGCCTGGTCAGTAAAACCCGCCTCCTGACCTGCACGTTGTCTCTGGGAGGAATAGCGTTTAGATCGGCCTTGCTGACCCAAGTCAGCCTGTTTGCTGACGACTGACTTTGATGCCTTGTTGTAGCTTTGTTTCTGCTCAAAGGACTTTGGCGATGTACTCTCACCTGTAGACACTACAAATAAATGTGTGAATCAGTTCATGTACAGACAGTTTTTCTTTCACCTACATGTAATACAACTCTAGGATATAAAACAGCAACTGATTTTAACCAAAGTTTTTACTCTTTTCATCTGCATCTGACTCTAAAGACATCCCTTAAAGTTGGCATGTTACAAAACACAGTAGGTATGTATTGAAATTCAAATAATGGTCGAAAAAGACTAAACTATATTACACTATCAATTATCAATACAATATAGATAAGGACATATTTTTGTCATCTAACATCAGCAATATGTCTGTAACTGTAAAATAACTGGTCTTACATGTACATGCATATGTACTACAGTATACTGGGAAATCTAGCTCAGTCAAACTTTCACCTTCACCCATGAAATCTATGTTTGCCAAGTGTTAGTTTCACCCTTCACCCATGAAATCTATGTTTGCCAATTGTTAATTTTACCCTTCATCCATGAAATCTATGTTTGCCAAGTGTTAGTTTCGCCCTTCACCCATGAAATCTATGTTTGCCAAGTGTTAATTTCACCCTTCACCCATGAAATCTATGTTTACCAAGTGTTAATTTCACCCTTCACCCATGAAATCTATGTTTGCCCAGTGTTTATTTTGCCCTTCACCCATGAAATCTATGTTTGCCAAGTGTTAATTTCACCCTTCACCCACGAAATTTATGTTTGCCAAGTGTTAATTTTGCCCTTCACCCATGAAATCTATGTTTGCCCAGTGTTAATTTCACCCTTCACCCATGAAATCTATGTTTGCCAAGTGTTAATTTTGCCCATTGAATTTAATTGCTATGTTTATTATGCTGTTTACTTATATTGACTGTAATAATAAATCCGTCCTTATTACGGACGGCAAAACAAATAATTGAACCAAAGTTTTCAGTACACTGTAAGTGGCTCAAAATTAACAATATGCCAACTAATTAGGATGAACTAATATCTAAATAAGCATGACAATGAGCACACACCAACATACTTTTTGTGATAGACACACTTTGTAATAGACATGATCACATGCACACTATGTTAAATATATTGATACAATACGTAATAAAAGTTGACACACTATAGGTAATAAACAAACATTGCTAAAACAGAAAATTTCCACTTTTAAAGCAACAAATTTTTAAAAAAGTCATGGTCATGCAAGTCAAGTAAAGGAATACAAAATAAAGGGTGAAGATATGTCAGTAGCTAAGACATTTCTGTTTCTTTTAAACACAATTCCTACTTTTCTTACTTAATACACAGCCAGTACTCCACTCACCTGGTTTTGGCGATATGTCTCCAGTATCCACGTTTTGTTCAGAACCTTGCATGTTCACATGCATCGTTCCCTGGACCACTGCATTGATAACGTTATCCTGAACCCTCGTCTTCCCTACAGCACGATCGCGAGCTCGCCTGTCTTTGGAGTAAGACTTGCGCTCTCCAGTGTTAGATATTACAATGTTCACATTCTGTACAGTGTCTTTGTCAGTTAAGTCATGCGTGCGCGGAGATACCTGTTCCACTGGACTAGGATCCTTAACGATTGTGTCGACGACTTTAGTGGCAGGTTCTGTAGTGATTGTAGTTCGGAAGATTTCACCTTCTTGGTAGCCGTATTCGTCAAGCAGATTATTGTAATCTCTTGGTGCCTGCTTCTGGAACCTTGGAGGAAATGTATTCCCACGATTTGAAGCCATATTGTCTTTCATATCTGAGTAAGACCGGGAACCCCTGTCATTTTGATCATAGTCACCTCCACGTCCATGTCTACTCCGACCTCGGAGCCCTGCCCTCGATGAAGCTCCTCCCCGCTCCCGCCGTTCATACCTGTGCATCTCTCTTTGTTTACCCGGACTGTAATCCAGGTCTTGTGATCTCGTCTGGTTATAATCAGACCTCGTATCCAGCCTATCACTGGCACTATTTCTGTATCGATTTCCTCTATTCTGTCCTGAAAAACCACGATCTTGAACTTTTGCATTACTATGGTCATGACCTTCAGAAAAGTCACGATCAACACCTCGATCCTGATTGGAGTAATTCCTATCTAAACCTCGATCCTGATTTGAGTAATTCCTATCTGGACTTCTATCTTGTTTGGAGTAATTCCTCTCTGGCCCTCTATTCTGATGGGAGTAATTCCTATCTGAACCTCTATTCTGATTAGAGTAATTCCTTTCCGTACCTCTGTCATGATTGGAGTTATTCCTATCCGTACCTCTGTCCTGGCCCCGTGAGTAAGCCCTGTCTTTACCAGGTGAGAATCTATCATCCTCCAGTTCTGCTGAGGATGAGCGGTGAAATGAGCGGTTGTTGTCACGGTTGTAGGTATCCTGGCTGAAACGCCCCCTGTCCCTGTTGTTATTATATTTGTTGTTCCTCGTTTCCCTCTCCTGGTTGTTGTAACTATTCCTACTCTGCACAAAATCACTCGGTGGTGAGCGTTGAGATACTGGGCGATCGGTAACGAAATCTTGTAACATTGATTTATGATCAGATCTTCTTCCCCTGGTAAATGAATTACAAAAGAAAAATTCACTTTGAACATAAACATACATTTAAATTTGTTTTTTGATAGGAAAAAGGTTAGAGATCTCCCGTAAGATATGGTTCTGAGGACAGATTTAACTGTATATTCATATGTACATATAAGCAAAGTTTTCACATTTTCCAGCTATCTTTCTCTTTTAAAGGACTTGCTTTTGCTCTAATTAAGCTAATCTTAAATTTAAACCTTATTTATTCTACAATACATGTACTTGTGAAATAAGTTTCTTACTTATATTAATCACTCTTGTTGGCCTGGATGGAAGCATGCAGGATGTTTTATATGGGAGGAAACCAGAGTACCTGGAGAAAATCCACGTTTGGTCTCTTGATTAAGGTACTTCTGCTTGTATTTATAAGACTTTTTATGTTAGGGAGCTATAACACAAAAAAGCGGAGTGTACACTCATCATAAACGCGGTTTATTTAGAGTACACTCCGTTTTTTGTGTGTTATATCTCCATAACATAAAAAATATATTCAAGTTAATCCTTAAATATAAACTTTTACCTCTTTCACAACAATTATTGCATGCAGGGGTCTTAGTGTGGGAGGAAACTGGAGAATCTGGAGAAACTCCACGTGGTCGGGCATGTGGCGCCGTACCTATTATCTTCCTTAGTGAAAGGCGAGCATGTTATCCACAGGGACACCTGAACACTGTGTTAACCTTGTTATTATGATCGACCTGCCTGGGTTTAATGTTTAGCTAACCTTGGCCTATTTGTCATCTTGGGTGCGTCTGGAGGTTTGTCGTACTGCCGAATGTCGTAGCCATACATGGTGAAGAGTTCCTCCTGAGACTTGGGAGCCTGTTGATCCTCACGGAACCGATCGTGGTTCCACTTCCCATCATCCTTCCACAACTTTTTCTTAGGTCTACAAGATCACACAGAATGAAGTGGTCAACAGGGAATACCTAAGTTAGTTAACAAAATGTACAGGCTTACAGATTGGCTAGTTGCCTCCCTTTGACAAATGAGCCAAGTCAATGGTAGATTACTGGGAGACTAGCTTTATAACATCAAGCCTAGAAATTAACTTTCAATACCACTTGGGCAGTGTACTTTCCAATTTTTCTAGTTCATATGCAAATTCCACTAACCCAATAGCATTCCACATGATTTGCAATATCAAACTTTGACTAGTCAATTGGGCTGACAGTTTTCAGAAACAACTGGAATTTTCACTAGTCTCGGACTAATCAGGCTAACCTTATTATCCAGCCCTGATTATACAATGAAAATAAACATTTAATATGTACATAATATACGTCCTCAAACATGCAACTTTTATTTAATATAAATTTCATCCATCATGTTTAAGTTCTTTTCTCCACATTTTTCTGTTCTCTTCTTGTACACGTCACCAAGGAGGTCATATAAACCAACATGATCTATATTGGCTATATGCTGGATTTTCTGGGCTCGTATTCATGAAGCTGTTCTCATGCTCAAGCATGGATTTTGTGCTCAAGCCTAATTTCTTGTTCTGGTTATAACTCAATAAATAAATCTTATTTGGTCAATGATTAAGAAACATTTTGAAGAGACTTATAGCCAAATACTGTTTTCAATGTTTACATTTGACTTTTTGATCGTTTGACATGATCTAAGCTTGTTACAAGAAAGTTGGTTTGAGCACAGATTCCATGCTTGAGAATGAGAACGGTTTCATGAATATGGGCCCTGATCTATCTACAATTGGAGCATGCATAATTAGGGTAAAAACCCAAGAAGATCATGTATTCCAACATTCATCATGAAACCTTTACTACTCACAGAGAAATATTCATAATTTTTAAGTAATATTCATACAAAAATCCAAGATAACCTGGTGGCCATTTTGTTAATATCTATATCTGTCAAATTTAAAACATGCACAACTCCAGACTTAGTGGATCAGGTATACTATGTTATGTAAGTTCTTATTTCAGAATTTAAATAGCATCACTACCTCTGTTGTTCCTCCTCTGGGACTGGTTCTTCCATAGAAATTCTCATGTCATGTTCATAGAAGGCTCCCCTTCTGGGTACAAATGCCGGATTCTTGCGATCCTCGTCATCATCCACTTCCTCCTTCGGCTGCTCCTGTTTCATGGTAAGGTTTGATCAACAGTGATAATGAATTAAGTGCATTTTAACATAACACATGAATAATTAGGCTTTTTATATTGTTATGAAGTTTGAATATGCTATAGGGCAAAATGCAAGGTGGGGGGAATTAATACTTTCTGGAATGCTTCCAGATCCCATCTCGATGGATTTAAAACTGTACCAGGTTCATGAAACATGAAATGTGCAGATCTAAGAAAAGCTGGTTTCAATATTGGTAATGTGCCTTGATTCACATTACATCAAACTGTTTACAATTATGGGACCTGCGGTAGTTATTTATGAAAATCTGGTTTATACAGGCTATCAGGGTGAAGTTTTTTTGTTGTATACAACAATAAATCTGATTTATAGGGGTTTACTTAACACATGTTTATACAGGATAATTTAAAGCTTGAACTTTAATTTCATTATCATTATCTAGTGACAGGGATCAATCTAGGTTTTAGGGGAATCTACCCTTTTTTTTAGATTTGGATGGAATTAAAAAGTTTGATACAAGGCTCTAGGGTCATGAAGATAAAAGATAAATGTTTTGTCTGACATACATGTACATATGTGCATTATATTTCAATTTATGAACAAAAATTATAGATTTTTTTGTCTAAATCATGTAAAGAAAATGTATTTATGCATTATTATGCATTTTTACTGTTGAATTTTAAAGAAAACATATTTTGAAGAAAAAACACCATTTTCTGGTTGAAATAGGCCACTATAGGCGGATTTTGAAGCACATAGGGGAATTTCAAAGAACAGGGGTATTTTCTTCAGTAGGGGAAACTACCCATCAACGGTAGTGAATCAAGTCTAGACTGATCCCAGAGTGAAGATAAATAAAAACAAACCTCTCCATCCCCACTCTGCCTTTCTTCTCCCTCTCCTAAACTCTCTACTATCACACTACCATCGTAGGTAGCTGTTTCATCATCTTCATCTTCATCGTCATCATCATCATCAGTATATTCATCCTGAAAAAAACATTGGTCATACCTTAAGAGCCAAATTATAAAGGTTTCCTACATCAGGGTATCAATTCTGTGATTTGTTGGTCCAATGAATGACAAAATTTTTGAAATAAAACTTGTATCAGCGAAAAAGTCTTACACATGTATACAGAAATTATATGACATTTTTTTATCCACAGATTATTTAGTGAAATTGGACATTTAATCTAACATCAACATCTACAACATATTAATTACTAGACTGAATTTTTATTACAACATTTTTTATTTGCTTACATCGTCATCATCATCGTTGTCTTCATTGGCACTTTCATATTCAGAATTATCTGCAATAAATAATGGAATCAAAATTGAAACTCAAAGGTTAACGAGTATTAGTCGTCAAAATATCATGTAATTCGTGTTTAGATTTTAAACTAGTTGTGGTCGTAATATACCGTATACAGATAGGTGGACCGTGTGGTAACATGTTAGTACACTTTTGGCAGGAGTATAAAAAATATCATGAAATATATATATTGAATTATGGATTTATAATTAGTCCTTCATCTCATCCCCGAATATGAAAAGTTATGTTTTGTTTTTCTCAATTGTTCATTTTTATTCTTTAACTCATTCACCCCTGAAGATGCATTTGAACCCTTCCTATTCAAAGGTTGGCATATTTCATTATGAAACTTCAGGGATCAATGAGTTAAATCATAACTTCATCAACAGTAAATTCCCAAAAGGTCCATGTAAAGTTTACACAATTTATATAGAACATGTATTTGATAACATGAAATTAAGAAAAATACATGTTGTAATAAATAAAAGGAAAAAGAATTTTAGGATTCTTTAATTTGATTCTGTTTGTTTATGTTTATATATAATTAACATCCTATTAATGGCTATGGTCATTTGAAGATGTGCCAGGATTTCGTGGTGGAGAAAAAATTGGAGAGGCCGGAGAAAAAAACCTATGCACTGTGGCTAGTATCTGGTGAATGCCCCATTTACGCCTCAAACCAGCGACTTAGCGTTGGAGGACTAGTGATTGTAGATGGTCAGGCGCCTTAACCGCTCAGCCCTTTTCTTTTTTTTCTTTGTCCACAAAGAAAACTATTCCCTTAGACCTAGTGTTTGTCTATGGGTCTATATATCTACCATTAAGTTAAAATACTGCTATCTTTTTTTGTAATAGTTCAATCCCTTGCTCTCAAGCAGATGCTGAAAGTCTAGCTGAAATGTTCTCCACCTCATGGCTGACCTAGGCGGTCATGTTGCAAATGACCAATCTTTCATCTCAAATTTTCAAATATTGAATACTTTCAATGTAACCAAGTTTAACCATAAGACATTTAATTAACACAATTGTGATCATGAAAACATAAAAATTATCTTGTTAAGTTATTTAAACATAAAATCATACCTCCTCCATCAGCTTGTCCCTCTCCTTCACTCTCCTGTAAAAACAAGTATGCTCAACATGTTTATTACATTAAAATTACAAAACTTTATTGTAATTCCAGTCTTATTTCTTTTTTAAATAAATTCTCTAAAAATTACTTAGAAAATTGCCATTTTTCGTAGATGGACACAATTTATATGACATATAGTTAGTGCATTCCATGAACTTGTATTATAGCTCTTCTTTGTAACAATTGGCTCTTCTGAGCTAATTTTTGTATGTTACAAAATAACTATAACAAGCCATTCAGATTGATATGTCTGTGCCCCGCTTTGACCATCAATACACATGTCAAGTTTGGTTGGTGTGGCACTTATAGTTTCAGAGAAACTAAATTAACTCATTCACCTCTGAAATTTCAAAATGAACTATTCCAACCTTTGAATTGGAAAATGTGTCTCCAGAGGTTAATGAGTTAAGCTCAAAAACAGATATGTCGCATCCAACATTTGATGCACGGGTTGAGATGTACTACCTTAGATGTATATAACGTCCAAGTTTGTTTGGTCTAGCACTTATACTTTCAAAGATGCTTATTTAAATGCAAAAACTTAATGTTGATGGAGATGCTGACAAAGTCAATGGACCATGAAAGGTAGGCAGCATCCAGCATTTGATGCATGGGTTGAGATGTACTTCCTAAGATGCAACTATGGTCCAAGTTCGGTTAGTCTAGCACTTATACTTCGTGGCGGCAGGACAAAAATGACATTAACTAAAAATTCTCGACTTTTGAAAGAAGATTCTTGACATAGACTAGACTAATGGAAATGGATATTAGTTTCCTTGTTCTGTGTTCTTTATATGCATTGCTGATTTTAGGATAAAACAATATTCCTCAGAATTTCATGTCTTTCAAAACGTTTTATTCAAAGGTACAAAAAAGATCGGATATTTGTACATTACTTGCCTACTAACTTTAGGGACCCACGACAATTTTCCTGAATCTTATACTCCCCTAGACACGATTTTCAGCTGTTTGGTAACTGATTGAAGTATAAATGTCAGATTCAAGTAAAATCCCCAGTCTATTACCAGAACGAATAACAATATGACAAGCCAGTAGACTGTGTATACAGATTATCAGTTTACAGTCGTCAATTAAAAAGCCGCTGGCAATGGAACTTTTGGAATACACACTACTGTACTCCGCTTGGATGCCCACTAAATGTAAGCCGTGATGATCAGCTGGTCACTTTAACATTCAGCCAAATGTGCGACACTCATTACTTTTGAACATTCTTCATACGAGTAACTGGTACATTTTCAAAATTCAAATGCACGTGAAGATAGGAAAACACCGGCCTCGTGTAGTCCGAGATTGTCAGAAATCACTGGATTCCTCAAATATTTGTGTCATGACTGATTATGCAAAGGTAAAATTTCCAAATTAAGATAGCCATAAATGTTAATGAGGCTTACACATTCTGATTTACGCGTCTCTTTCTCTTTCTTTTTATTCGCCCCAGTTTCCTCAGTTTCGTCTTCACTCTCGCCTTCGGAATTTCTTCGTCGTCTTCTGTCCGCCATTTTTCTTTCAGTGTGAACTATCGCACGAAGTCTCGCGTGGTTTAGTACATGTGCACCGAATGACCCTAAATATATACCATCAGGGATTACATTCAGTGGCTTATTTATAATAATCTTTTAGATTACCCTTTTAAGCAGATTTTTAATTGATGCACACTCAGAAAATAATTCAAAAAGCTACCAAGCCCTGCTTGTGTTATTTTTAGTAAAAATGTAAGTTGCAGAAATTGAAATTTTTGTACACCTTAAATTCAAAATCAACACTTAATTCTCCTAGCTGGTTACCATCTTTGATGGTTTTATAATTTTTGGATGTGATTCAAGCAACATACACACATGTACGTCAGACTGAAATTCAAATCAAAAACAGATATCGCTATGATATTTTAACTGATACAGATATATATGTATATATATAAAGCCAGAGTATTATAAAAAAAAATATATATAAAACCATCCGTGTAGTTATTTTATTACCCAAGGCAGAGACATATATTACATATAATATGCTTCTCTGCCGCGAGAAGAAACATCAGTTCTCGAATATAAGTGTAAGGAAAAACTCCCGAAATGTACAAAATCAAAGGCTTAATTATTATCACACTAACGATCTCATGTATTAAATAAAGACTAAACATGTTAATATGAATATACCTTGGTATATACATCTTTGACCGATATAAGTCACAAAAAAATAATTATATAGCTTTTAAATATTATTCAATTATAGCCTTCGGCTGAGGTCGACACCTGAATTTATCGACCCGAGAAAGGATATATTGACCGAGGACGCATTAACCGAAGTTAAAGGCTACAATTGTTTTATTAATATTTTACAAAATTTATTAGTATTTTCACACTGTGAAAATATCACTTTTGATATTTGTCACAGTGTGAAAGATATCAGTTTTATCAATTAAAAGTTGATAGAATCCATACTTCACTGGCAAAAATGTAATAAAAACAAAAAATGGTTTATTTTGCTGTTTTGAAAAAGCCACAAAGTTGACATCTCCAACTTCAGAACACTTTAAATGCAGGTTGATATATTAATATATATATTTTTTTCAATACAGTGATCGATTGATTGCAGGCAATATTTTGGAACCGTGATTACTGATCGATATATTAAACTTCTTATACTCATTTAATAAATTACTACACTTCAATTAAAATTTGTCAAATACATGATTTCCATTAATATTACTTTCTTGGTCCAAAAGGAGGACCAAACATTTACATTTATTAAATAGATTAATTGATTTATTTTTTAAACATAAACGCTGTTACGTGAAATAAAAACGATAATCCAAAATTAAACACACCAAAGAAAAAGAGAACAATTCAAAAATAAATGAAAAAATAAAAAATCTGATAAGCATCAAAAAGTGATATAGACCAAAACAATTAGGCCGCAGGGACGTAAGATTTACGATACCGTAAACATATGTATATATATTTGTCACAAACCTCTAAAAGTCAGTTAAAAATAATATTTATACATTGACGTAGTGCCATGCAAGCCGTCTTCGACGTAACTTCATACCCCTTTGTCTATATGTTAAATTATTTTTAGAAAGGAAAGACACGGGAACGATGAAATTGTACTGCGAGGTCCATTCATAGCGAGACAAAAACAATAACACAATATCTAGATTTTCAGTAATATAATTGATGTTTATGGCCGAAAAACATATTGATGGCAAAAAAGAAGGGGAGAAACATGTCATGAGGCCAGGGGTACGCTGTGCTATAATCCACATGTCCCTGGTCATGGGGATAATAACTTGTATGCATGTTTATCATACACACACATTCCAGCATCTGTAGCCAGAGACGTCTCTGCTGTAGCCCATCAATTAAATAGCAATTAACACTGTCTGCAGTGTCTTTGATATAAGATAAGTGTGCGACGTGAATTGATTTTTATGTGATCAAGCTAAGTAACACTTTATGTGATCATGCTAAGTAACACTTTATGTGATCAAGCCAAGTAACACTTTATGTGATCAAGCTAAGTAACACTTTATGTGATCAAGCTAAGTAACACTTCATGTGATCAAGCCAAGTAACACTTTATGTGATCATGCTAAGTAACACTTTATATGATCAAGCTAAGTAGCACTTTATGTGATCAAGCTAAGTAACACTTTATGTGATCAAGCTAAGTAACACTTTATGTGATCAAGCCAAATAACACTTTATGTGATCAAGCTAAGTAACCCTTTATGTGATCATGCTTAGAAACACTTTATGTGATCAAGCCAAGTAACACTTTATGTGATCAAGCCAAGTAACACTTTATGTGATCAAGCTAAGTAGCACTTTATGCGATCAAGCTAAGTAACACTTTATGTGATCATGCTAAGTAACACTTTAGGTGATCAAGCAAAGTAACACTTTATGTGATCAAGCGAAGTAACACTTTATGTGATCAAGCTAAGTAACACTTTATGTGATCAATCTAAGTAACACTTTATGTGATCATGCTAAGTAACACTGTATGTGATCATGCTATAAGTAACACTTTATGTGATCAAGCTAAGTAACACTTTATGTGATCAAGCTAAGTAGCACTTTATGCGATCAAGCCAAGTAACACTTTATGTGATCAAGCCAAGTAACACTTTACGTGATCAAGCTAAGTAACACTTTATTTGATCAAGCTAAGTAACACTTTATTTGATCAAGCTAAGTAACACTTTATGAGATCATGCTAAGTAACACTTTATGTGATCAACCTAAGTAATACTTTATGTGATCAAGCTAAGAAACACTTTATGTGATCATGCTAACTTGCTAAGTAACACTTTAAGTGATCAAGCTAAGTAACACTTTACGTGATCAAGCTAAGTAACACTTTATGTGATCATGATAAGTAGCACTCTATATGATCAAGCTAAGTAACACTTTATGTGATCATGCTAACTTGCTAAGTAACACTTTATGTGATCAATCTAAGTAACACTTTATGTGATCATGCTAAGTAACACTCAACTCTAGGCGGACGCTCTACCAACTGAGCTACCTGGTCGCCGACGATTAACCCAGTCCACTTCCGCTTAATCCCTCCCTCCTTTTACTAAGTAAGTGTTCACCCTAAAAACATCACTAGTTACAACCCCGGTTCGGGTATCCCTTTGCCAAGCATAAACCCAATGTTTGGTACAGGGTTGATCAAAGACACAAGTTTTGTAATAAGAGCGGGAAAATGTTTGGACATACCAAGATTTTAACATGGGACTCTCCGAACTCTAGACGGACACTCTTCTAATTGCGCTACCTGGTCACCAGTTCAGATACATGATATGGGGTGTCTAGTCTGTCATCCATTACATGTTTAAAACTTCCTTGTCAAAACTACTGCATATAAATTTCATAAAATTTCATGGCAACCACGTGCACTAGGTCATAAATGCCCAAAAGGAGATTTGCAACTTTAATTTATACAACACTGCATCACCTCCATCAAGGGTTGCTCAAGAGCAATTTAATCAAAATCTTCCATCCGTGTAGAGATAGTTTTTTGATGATTAACCCCGACTTCTCCTTTCGAGGGCCGCCTCTATAGGAGAAATTTTTCATTTATCATGACAGCATTTGTCTAGGGATCCCTATGCAGATTAAGGTCAAATTCCCTTACCTGTAATTAAGGAACAGTAAGATTAACCCTATTTCCCCTTTTGGGCTTTGACCCTCTGTTATAAAAAAAAAAAGAGGGTGAAGGGCACATTTCTCTATAAAACATCTGATGAACGCTGCACTTAGGTTAAAATCCGTTCACATATACTTTTAAAAAATAGCTTTTTCCCTCACTTTTGGTGCCAGCCTCTTCACCCGGGTGGTGACAAATTACTCTCTGCCAAATAAGGTCAGAATTCCTTTACCGTACTGTTTAGTCTTTACGCCGCCTCTTTCTTTCTCTCCGTTTTATACTAATTGTAATCTGTTGGACTTGGCATGTGTCATGTGTCATGCCGAATTTTGTCAAAATTCCTTCATCCATACTGAGACACACTTCTCCTATTTGACCTCTTGAAGGATGCTTCATGCTTAGTTTGGTTGGAATTTGATCATTCGTTTAGAAGGAGTAGATTTTTAAAGAAATTATTGATGTTGATGGACACCATGTACAGCATAAGCTCACCTTGGACCATGTGAATCAACAATAATATATATATAATAAAAGCCAACTTAAATATGACCCTTATTGAAAAATGCTTAGAAAATGAAGTTCAAGTATAAACTATTTATCAGTTATTAGATCTTTACTTAATTATCGGATTTCCTCGTAACGAAAGTTTGAGGGGATAAAAGATACCGCCCATAGGTACGCATGTTACACTCTTTGTCATTGCTCTAGTGACTTCATTCCTCCATGGAATTTCGTGAAACTTCACATGAGTGTTAAGTATGACATTTGCATATTGGGTTTCTGCGTTGAAGGTCAAGGTCACTGTTACTATTTTTAGAGAAAAAAAACTTTGTCATCACGACTTCATTTTGGAACACAATTTCACGAAACTTCTTACAAGTGTGTTGGTGTACGGCAGTGCCTTGGACAGGTTCGCGTTTCTGGTTCCTATGTTCAAGGTCAAGGTCACTGTTACTATTTTTAGAAAAAAACACTTTGTCATCGCTCTACCGACTTCATTTCTCAACAGAATTGTATGAAACTTGAGACAAGTGTTTGGTATGATAATAACTTGAACAAGTTCGCATTTCGGGTTACTGCGTTAAAGGTCAAGGTCACTTTTACTATTTTTAGACAATGTATTATTGTAGTACTTCTCTATATGTGTCCACACATATACGTTGGTGACTGTTTGACTTCTAGTATTAGAGTAATTCAGCTTAAGGCAAATTTGAACCAAGACGCCTGAGGGAATGACGAAAAAGAAAGTCATTTCATGTTCCCAACAGTAAGTGAACAGGAGATCAAAATCATGACACCTTTTTATGTTCAAGTGCTTTTATTTCTTCTGATTTTGTACAAATACATATATATACATAAGTACAATATATATCAGTCCCATCACAACATCAGTATTTCATACATTGTCAAAAATACTGCAATTCAATATAAAAACACCTCGTGGACGGAACAATCAGTCACAGATACTTGTAAAAATAGACATATAGAAAGATTTTTGTAAAAACAATACCCAGTAGGCATAATAATATACGTCCAACTCATTAAACCAAGAAAATTTGTCTTTCCTCTTCTTGATGTTGACATAACACGTAGAGGGGAGGGAGTGCTTGAAAAATTTCTTCAAAATAATGATCTGGAATGTTTAATTGATGCTTGTACAAGCACTATGAATGAAAAGTGTGTTAAATATTTCTGTAAACTTAAGTGGTGGACTTGGCATGAGCCTTTGTAGAATATAAGTGACACATATTACAAGATATAAGTTTGATTCTCTTTTAAAAATTTCTGGATCCCGTATTATCATATTTTTTTTTATTACAAATACATCAGAGTTCAACTACATATGAACATTGTATGATTGCTTCTTCCTCATTTCTTCAGTAAAAACTGAATGAAATTATTCCATGGGAAAAAAGTCGGAGATAATTTACACACTCTGCTCTATACATGTAATGTTGGAATGTATGTTTACACAGTAAAGATATATATCTGGACGTATATTACACAAGTATGTAACAAAGATCTAAACGTCTCTGCTACAATCAATATCACAGACGGTATAACTGTTTAATATGGAGCTTTTACTAAACAGCAGTAACAATACAGTGAAACCTGTCTAAAGTGAACACCAACAGGGCTGCAGTAGACAGGTTTCTGATAGCACAGTTTAACTTACATACAATTTTTTGACAACTACATCAAACAGGTCCAAGAAAATTTGTTCAAAACCCAGGTAGCAGTTTTTACCTAGAAATACTTACACTGGGACCTAGCTGTGAAGAGGGCCTAGCCAAAGGTATGCTTCATAAAGGTATCTTCATTGTGAAGGGTAACTGGGTTTGGTTCAAAACCTAGTTAACAGTTTTTACCTAGAAATAATTACACTGGGGCCTTGCTGTAAAGAGGGCCTAGCCAATTGGGTATGCTTCATAAAGGTATCTTCATTGTGAAGGGTAACTGGGTTTGGTTCAAAACCTAGGTAACAGTTTTAATCTAGAAATGTACACTCTGTGACCTAGCTGTTAATAGGACCTAGCCATTGGTATGCTTCATAAAGGTATCTGGATTGTTAAGGTTTAGTTTTAAACAGTTAATGCTGCATTAACCCTTTCCTCCCTATGTAACTTTAATAACCTCTACCATAAATTGATCTGGATGAGTCCATTATGGTCTACAGTGTTGAGAGGGTGAAACACAATTGATATCCTGTATGTACTGTAGCTCAGCTGTATTCAGCCCTCCTACATACTTCACACATAACTTGTGCTTGTTATTTTTTAATAAGACTGTACAATTTTGAATGCTACTCAAATGCATGCATATTTTGTTTTTACTGAAAAAACACAGGAAAGTGTTACAGTCAGCAGGTTTTGGCATAAATGACCCTATTCTACAACAGCCTATGTTTTTATTCAGAAGTTTTGATAGCTTACTGATAATCTCTGTAGAATAACGATTGATTTGTGTTCTCAAAGACTTGTCAGCTTTTAAAAACAGATTTCATATCAAAACAATAAAAACCTTGTTCGACTAAATCACTACATATCCAGGTTGAGTTTTCTATTACAAAATTTTGTAAAGCTAACTTAACTTGTATTAGTCAGCTTTAAAGCCCTGTGGTAGAGTTACTACCTCAATAAACATACTATCTTTGTGATAGACATTAATTCAAATAGATTTTGTTTCTTATATTTTCGGTTTTCATTAATTTTGTTGAAAGTGTTTTGAAATATCAATTATAAGACAGGAAATATGCATTAAATTGTCTTTCAATGATTTCATATCATCAAATATATTCATAACTTAATACTGTAAACAAGTCAAGATTTCCTCAATCTTACTGTCTGACAAAAATCTATATAGTATTACTTGTTCAGATTTCCACACAACGACAAATAAATAGGCTAAAGTATTTTTATACAACTATTTCATTATTCTTAACAATGGATAACGATCCTGACTAATTTGTTTATAGTTGGACGGAGTCAGAAAAACAAAATAAATTTTTATTTACGCATACATTGAATAGTCTCAAAATGATATTTACAAATCTTTTCTTCACAATTTTTTAAATTAATATGTATACACATTAGTTGAATTACATGTACATTAAGATAATCTAAAATAACTCAAAAAATAATAAATGAAATTCATGACCAATGATTTGTTTAAAATCACACCTAATATCACATTCTACAGAATTCATAAGCTTAAACATTACCAAAAGCTTCTGATAATTTTCAAACTAAAACTTTAGAACCAAACAAAAGAAATACTTCCAGAAATAAAAGAAATTTCTACTTTTCCGAAAATGTGGACAAAATTCGGCCAGAGTAGTGAAGCTAGTATAACATTAGTTATCAGGCAATGCAGTGTTTAGGCATTGTACTGGTGCTCCCCAGTCATCACTATAGAGAGACCTCTGGACCAGCACTATTACATACAGTACAGCAGTCAACATTCTCATTGATCACAGATGTACAGTTCTCCGTCAACATGTACTGTAAACCTTATTCTGTTCAGCTCCAATAAAGTGACGTAATGTTTTTTTGTGCTTCTTGTTACATGGTTACATTTTCCCCCATGTAAATACAGCGATTTCTTCAAAGTTCTGAGTTCAACATCCTTATTTAGTTGCTTTGCTTTGGGCTGATGCTGTTCGCTTGGGCAGAGCGATAAACCTTGGGCGTGCTGTAATGTTGAATTCCTCCATCAGTGCCTCGGACATAACGTTGAGCAGGGAATTCTCTATAATCGACTCTGCAATATTGCCAAATGCAGGGAGTCTGAAAACAAACAACACATTATATCACAACATTGTTTTACAGAAAGTTTTAGAGCAATTTGACAAAAATCTTAAAAAATTATGAACAATCAAGCAATTAATAAAGAGAGAACCATGTAGTTAATCTAATCATTTCAATGCTTCCCACAGTCTCCATCAATTTTCAAATTCAAAAGATGGAATAGTTCATTATGAAATTTGACAAAAATCTTAAAAAATTATGAACAATCAAGCAATTAATAAAGAGAGAACCATGTAGTTAATCTAATCATTTCAATGCTTCCCACAGTCTCCATCAATTTTCAAATTCAAAAGATGGAATAGTTCATTATGAAATTTGACAAAAATCTTAAAAAATTATGAACAATCAAGCAATTAATAAAGAGAGAACCATGTAGTTAATCTAATCATTTCAATGCTTCCCACAGTCTCCATCAATTTTCAAATTCAAAAGATGGAATAGTTCATTATGAAATTTGACAAAAATCTTAAAAAATTATGAACAATCAAGCAATTAATAAAGAGAGAACCATGTAGTTAATCTAATCATTTCAATGCTTCCCACAGTCTCCATCAATTTTCAAATTCAAAAGATGGAATAGTTCATTATGAAATTTGACAAAAATCTTAAAAAATTATGAACAATCAAGCAATTAATAAAGAGAGAACCATGTAGTTAATCTAATCATTTCAATGCTTCCCACAGTCTCCATCAATTTTCAAATTCAAAAGATGGAATAGTTCATTATGAAATTTGACAAAAATCTTAAAAAATTATGAACAATCAAGCAATTAATAAAGAGAGAACCATGTAGTTAATCTAATCATTTCAATGCTTCCCACAGTCTCCATCAATTTTCAAATTCAAAAGATGGAATAGTTCATTATGAAATTTCAGGGGTGAATGAGTTAAGGCCCCAATATCACATGATTCGGAGTCCACCTCACACTGAAGTTAACCTTAATTTTCCGGTTAGTTAACATCACATTAGAAACTTCAGGTCAAACTCTGGAGGCAGATTCAAGGTGCTTGTCTTACTTTTTTGTATGTATTTTATTTAGTAAAATATAAAACTCAAGTACTTTTAAAATGTACATGATAAATTCAAGCACTTTGAAAGATCTGTATGAACCCTGACAATGGTGAACCATCCAGGCTCACGAGAAACACAAATGTACTTTTACAGAAACCAGAGTAAATGCATGTCTTGAGATTCAAAAGGATTCTCTTCAGCTACGTAAAAAGTCTCACATTTTTTTTATTGGGTTAGGTAAGAAAATAAATTTGAATATTATGTCTCACATTTCTGTAATTTAGGGTAGGTAAGAAATTAAGTTTGAACATTTAGCCTGTGTCATTAAACCAGAACTAACGATGTGTCTAGTAAGAATTAAATTTTACTTTTTAAGTTTCTGCTTCTGTTTGAGTAGGTCCTCCTCTTTGCTAACTTTTTCTATCTCCTCATTTGTATGCTGTTTGGATTCCATCAAGAGTTTCTTCCCTGATCTAGATGAGGGAGCGGCCTGTAAAAAACATGATGCAAAGTCAATAATTGCAGTAAAAGGCATGTACAATAGAAACTCATTAAGCCATACTTTATTGTCGATCTGAAAGAAATAAGTTCTTTATAGAAATAGGTCTAGTAAGAATGCTCATAAACTGATGGCGTTAGGAGGACTGATAACTGGGGGTGGGATACAGAGCCTTTTAACCGACCTGTTTTGAGGACTTCAGGGGCAGATTACTGGATCAGGATACAGAGCCTTTTAACCGACCTGTTTTGAGGACTTCAGGGGCAGATTACTGGATCAGGATACAGAGCCTTTTAACTGACCTGTTTTAAAGACACTGAGGGCACACTTGTGGGTGTGGCCGGGGGACTGGCAGTTTTCGGTTCCAGTGTGACATCGATGGAGGACATCGGAGACATGCGAGACTGGGAGGCAGCACTGGACCGGCCACTCTGGGACTCAGCCTGGGAGGGAACAGGAGGTGAGGCAGACCGTTGCTCCCCGATTTGGCTGTAGTAGGGAATGGCCTCATTGGTGACTTTCTTCACAGAATCTTGGAAGTAAGTGTCGTCCAGTAGGCCTCTGTTGGATTAAAAAGAAAGTACCATTAGTACATAATTATTTATCATATGTTCTTCAGACATTGTCCGTAAGTTTGTACCACATCTGAGGACGTGAGGAGGAAATAATAGACTAAGCTACGGGTCATTGTAGATTTTGTAATAAAATCTCACACCAGGTAATATGAGGTATAACATATGGATGAAATAATGGTGGAATAGATATGCATGAATTTCTGGTACACATTACAGGGAATATTGCACGGATCTCAATCTGTTTTTTTTTTTAAAGAATTGTCGTAAAAGTAACTTCAAGATTACATAAAAGTTGTATTGTATATAATACCACAGCTACAAACCTGAGAACGTTGCTGAGGACTCCTGACACCATTTCTGCCTCTGCCTGGGTACAATTGATCTGTGGCAGGGTGTCGTCCTGCTGCTGCTGGTCACGTCGGATTGGTCCAGCCAGCTTCTCACTCAACATTCTAACCAATCAAAACAATTGTAACATATGGTTTAGATAGAAACTTAACATTCTTACCAATCAAAACAGTTGGAACATTTGGTTGAAATAGAAATTTAACATTCTAACCAATCAAAACAGTTGTAACATTTGGTTAAGATAGAAATCTAACATTCTAACCAATCAAAACAGTTGTAACATTTGGTTAAGATAGAAATCTAACATTCTCACCAATCAAAACAGCAGTAACATATGGTGTAAATAGGAATTCAACATTCTTACCAATTTAACAGCAGTAACATTTGGTTTAGATAGAAATTCAACACATTAACTTTTCTATCAAAGATAACGATTATTTTAACATCATGTTTCCTTTGATACAGATGCTGTCTTACCTGTCTACGTAGAAGTTCTTGTATTCCTCCGGGAAGTTGATCTGGAACTCACGAATGTCGTGTGTTCGGGCTGTCAGACCTAGATGCAGTAGGAAGGGGTTGGGTGTGTTGGGCTTGGCCCAGAGTTCAGCCTCCTTCTGATCCTTACTCATCTGTACGGCCTTCTCCTCGTCAGGAGATAGCTGTTTGATCGGTGGTAACGTCTACAGGACAATTTAAAGCCAATTGAATTATAAGTGAATATTTTTTAAACAGTTTCCTTCTACAGTGGAATCTTGTAAATGGTGCCAGCTTGTCATTGATAAGATATCTTACATTAAATGATCTGATGTAACAAGAGACATCAATTCATTAATAGGTTAAGGATCAGTTGCTTGTAATTAATACCTTATTAAAAGGAAAATTTTCTTGGTAACTGAAACCAAAGAAGAATTCTAGCCATGCCATTGGTACAGTCAGTGTATTATAATGTCTATTTTATTTTTCATTTTTTGTTCAATTTCACATGTTTTCTCTGAAAGCATACCATCACAACAATATTTTATCAACAATTTTATATTGCTTGGGGCATCTTTTAAGAAAGCTTACAAAAATTAAAACATGGATTGGAAAAACAGAGTGATGACACCAAATTGACATGTAACCTCAAATAAAGGATGTTTATCATGTAATGAAGCTACCTTATATTTGGTGAGCTCTCCTTCACTTTCCGCCCTCTTTCTTTCCTCCAGGGCCTGGAGACGACTGCTTGGTCGCTCCTATGGAAAAAATAATAGATAAAATAAAGGAATCTATTTTAAGGCTGACTAAAAACTGTAAAACATACATATACATATACTTAGAGTGCAATTGGGCAAAATATATATATACTCCTCTCCTGTTGGCAAGGAAATAAAGGTACATCAAAATCTGACTAAAGAAATGGAATTATAAAGTATACTGCATAAGTTCTGCAGTGAAGAGGAGTATATAGGTCACATTTGATATACTAGAGTAGTACTCCTCAAAATGTATCATAAATGGAGTTTGACGGACTTGAAACTTTTTGTATAACGGAGCTTAACGCTTATTCTACCTAAAGTGGTATTACCGTGATGTCGCACAGGAATATGTACAGACCAACGCAAAAACAAACCAACACTTAATGCCACCTCCATTATAGTATATGTTGATGGACATACAAAGAATAATGTGTTAACTCATTCACCCCTGAAATTTCATAATGAACTATTCCAACCTTTGAATTGAAAGAGTTAAAAAGTGTCTTCATGAGTGAGTTATTATAATTCCACAATTGGGCTTCAATTGACTTTTTCACTAAGTGACAATCCAAGTACCAACATGATTCTAAATATTGTAGTGAGTTTATTGTCGGTTTATGGTCAATCCTGGTCTAATCTTTACTAGTCTATACTCATTTCTTAATGTATAGAACTCTGAAGTGATCATGCTTAACAGTGCACACAACACCTACTGTGATCTCCACATTGTTAGGCAGGCGTTTATCAGCATCCAAATCATCCTCTGTAATAGTGAACTCGTATTTCTGTCGCTCCCGTTCTTTCTCCCAATTCTGCAGCCTCTTTTTGTAGTCTCTCAATTCCACTTCATCGGTAACCTACAACAGTAACAAGTAATATATCACGATTTCTACTTTATTCTGGGCAGTATTCTCAGAAGAAAGAAGTCAATGAATCCAAATATTTATTTCTGGACCCACTTTTGTATAGCTATTTTGTGGCAGGAAGGATAAGTCATTACGACAATCTGTAACGTCAACATATAAATAGCCAAGTTTGACTTTCTATCCAAACAATGTACATATTAAACGTGTCGCAATGTTTCAAGGTCGACTGGTCACTTTGTCAAGCTAAGACTGAGTGAGCGATTTGTACTTTTTTTACCTGTACAATATATAGATTGCTAAATATAGATCACAAATGACACCTATAGGTAAAGGTCACACAGGATAATCACCTACCTCACACACGAGGTCAAGGTCGTAGAAGGACGGAACTTTGCAGGCCACAAAGACAATTCTACACATCTTGCTTTCTCCTGGTGCCAACCGTCCTCGTACAGGGGAGATGGACAGGTACTGAGGACGGGAAACATCAGTCATCACACACAGTACAACACAACTGATCAACTCATCGTTTAACATAAACTCACATCGATCAGTCCGGATTTAACTGAACAGTTGTCTAATTTTACTATACTTATGTTCATGTAAATGAAAATTATTTATTTTACAAATTATATTGTTTTCGAATGTTTGATAAATATTTTGTTTTTTATTCAACAATTTCTAAGTTATGTAACATATGCAATTCATTTTATCATTGGCTGTAAACAACCCGTAGATTAAACAACTTTGGTTGGTTTATTCTTATTAAATCATGACCAATAGGAGTTCAGCATGCTGACTTACCTGGCTGTCGGCCTGGGCTGTGACATGCCACTCAAAGGACACGTCTCTGTCACGAGATTTGTTGATAACAAACACCAGTTGTCTGGCTCTGCTGAACAGTGGCATGTTTCCAAAGGATAGCCTCTCCTGGGACAGATACGCCAGCTGTGGAATAAGTGAAGAAAGATTAGTTCAAGCAAGGCAGAAAATTGCGCACAAAGGGTAGTAGATATTTATTTATTTTTTTCGATGATTTTATTTTGCAAAAGCATCAGAAAATCTTTATAACCAGAATGTAACTCAGAATCAACGTTTACAGAAACAAGTTTATTTCTTAATAATTCAGCACTTAAAACATGACCCGGCATGGAAAGACTTTATAACCGTTCCCAGGGTAACCTAGTGATTCAGGTTCAGGATTATATCTGAGTGTATAAATATTTGTTTGACTCAAAAATCATCAACTTTGTCTTATTAGAAAATTCTGTTTTATGGAACTAGTTTTCATATTATTATCTCTGATAGAAAATAAAACTACTTCAGTCTTATATGGAGTAATAATGCATCTACTCGGGTAAAGTGACTAACAAGACTTACATGTCCAGGTAAAGAGACTAACAAGACTTACCTGTCCAGGTAAAGTGATTAACAAGACTTACCTGTCCACGTAAAGTGACTAACAAGACTTACGAACAAGACTTACCTGTCCAGGTAAAGTGACTAACAAGACTTACCTGTCCAGGTAAAGTGACTAACAAGACTTATCTGTCCAGGTAAAGTGACTAACAAGACTAACCTGTCCAGGTAAAGTGACTAACAAGACTTACCTGTCCAGGTAGAGTGACTAACAAAAATTACATGTCCAGGTAAAGTGACTAACAAGACTTACCTGTCCAGGTAAAGTGACTAACAAGACTTACCTGTCCAGGTAAAGTGACTAACAAGACTTACCTGTCCAGGTAAAGTGACTAACAAGACTTACCTGTCCAGGTAAAGTGACTAACAAGACTTACCTGTCCAGGTAAAGTGACTAACAAGACTTACCTGTCCAGGTAAAGTGACTAACAAGACTTACCTGTCCAGGTAAAGTGACTAACAAGACTTATCTTTCAGGTAAAGTGACTAACAAGACTTACCTGTCCAGGTAAAGGTACACTCTGTATACTGGGCACTCCGGTCAGATCCTGCTGGTCAGAGATTGGCATGGTGTCTCCCATGACACGACGGTCGTAACCGACCCCGGTAAAGGTCACGATAGCCGTGTCCCCATTGTGGACATGTATCGGAACATCAATCTGAAATTTATAATGTTATTTATTTTTTTCACAAGCTTGACAATTTTTTCACAAATATGCAATTTCAAGTACATCAGAATATTTTATTGACTGATCAAAATAACACTGTCAGTATTTCTTCCTCATTAAATTCAAATTGTGTATTAACAACATTTTTTTTTTAAATGTTTGCTTTCTACAAAACATTGTTTATGAATATATTTTTTTTATTTTTTTCAATATTAACTATAACCATAGATATATGTGACCTACCATGTAGGTTTTAGCTTCAATGGGTGAGAATCGCCAATCAATGGCCAAAGTCCGTCCAGGCTGTATCTCTCCTACAGGATTCAGGCACTCAAAGATCGGCTGGTCATAATTTTCCTACAGAAACATCACACAGAACAGCGTAAACAGCTGTGATACAATAAAACCTTGTTATATTACCACCAGAGAAGTTTTGGTATTATCAAGGAATTGGGTAAATCATTGAGGAAGACATATAATATGTGAAAAGGAGATATCTATTGCTGGTAATGGAGACAACACAGAAAGAAGCATTACATTCAGGTTTTACAGAAATCGCTGAGACTCAATGCCACAAAGGTAGGTGATAGTGGGGGTACATACCTTTGTAAGCAGGTCTAGAGGAGCCAGATCAATGTGGAACTTGACAGGCACCGCTCCTCCATTGTACAAATCATACGTCTACAAGATACAGACAAATAGTTTCAAAACACAGGACAATTCCCCGAGATTGCCAGAACGACATAACATTGACCACAATTGTAACACAGCGATAGGTTTCTACATGTGACGGTCTGAAACTGAACTCATTATTGCACAGATGTCTTGATAATTTTATCATAAAGAGTTGTCTTATTTTGTTTAAAGATTAAGTTCATGGTCATTAATGTGGCTCTTATAATATCACAATGGACTTGTTTTGATCATCAATTTTATAATTATTATTGTCTTGATTTGTTTTTAAAATTCATTTTATTAATATTTTGCTTCCACTTTAACAATAAACTTACAAATAAGTAATAAATAACTGTCATGATAAGTTTACATTAATTTTAGTTATTGCAAACATCAAATTAAATATTCACCTGAATATTGAGTGATTCAATTTTCCCTTAGTTTACACGAGGGTATAAATACCTGTTTAGGGCTGTTCTTCTCCCCGACAGGGATCGGAGTAAACATGTGTTTGTTGGATGGGAAGTGGATGTATCGCCTGTCCGGCTCAACTGTCACTCCCACAAAGTTCAGCTGTAACAACGCAAGTGTGTTTTGTTAGGGGTCTCAAAACATAGTTCATTCTGACAATATAAATATCATGTTTAGTAGAAACTGTTTTCACAAAATAGAATATAAATATACAATGAAACCTGTCTTATCTGACACCCTGTGATACACAACATATTGGTCACATTAAACATCTAATCCGACACCCTGTGTGACACGGCACAGAATTCCAAATACACAGATCTGATTTTATAATTTTTATAAGAAATGGGATGACAACAATACTCCGGGGGTTACACAGGTTTTCCTCTCGATAAAGTGACTTCAGTATTGTGCTGTAAATTTTCTTAATATTTTATTCTTAATCAATAATCAAGCTTTACTCATTATCAGTTTTCAAGATTTCGTTTCTCATTGTACATATTTGTGTATTATGTGTATTATGTGAGGAAGCAAGTAACCCCCTCAACTCACAATCACACTGACATATTATAAATTCTAATTGTCTCACTATCTCCAATCCCCTCCCAAATATATTCAAGCCTAGAATAACCATTTGCAAATTAACTTCATGAGCAAAAAGTTCGTTAATAATAGCAACTTTATCTTATACCCGCCAACTTGTAAAGTTACTAAATCTTATGTTAATGATTGGACACAATTGTTTGTTTACTTTGTGATAATTATCCACACTCATAAATGGGGCTAATACTTGAGAAGTTGTACCCACCAAGATCTCCCTTCCGCGGGCCAGCTTCAGCAGCACTGGGAGTCGATCAGTGCCGGCCATCGTGTGTTTGTAGGTAAGGGTGACGGTCTTACACTCTCCCGGGGCCAGCTTACCAGTCTTTGGTTCAATAGTGAATAGCTTGTTATCCATCACTTTCATCTGAAGATTTTAAAATGAAACAAAAGGCAAAAATATTAAAGAGAGATTGACTCAAAGGAATGATGTGATGTGATAAGAATACCCCCCTCAATCAACGTCACTTATTTTTCTAATCCGGTTTATCAATGTCACTTATAATTCCATTTTATTTGTATCTTTATCATATCCAATGAAAACAATAAGATTTTCCAGGGTGAAAATCAAACTTTTAACCTTTATTTTTCTGGGTTGAACTTCGATTACCCAATATTGAATACTTTTTTCCTAGGTGACCTTCCATTTTAAAAACGAAATTGTGAAAAAAAGGGTATCCCCGATCATGTGTTGGTGATAAAATAAATGTTCACCCCTGATACAAACTAACTTGACTTATGACTTGGAACTAAGTACTGACCTCATGGAGTTCATCCTCGTCAAACTCCCCCGTCTCCGCCCAGTATTCCAACTCCAGCTGAAGGTCAGCGGGGAACAGGAATGCCCTTAAAAGTATAACAAGATCAAGTCAATATATTTAACCTTGGCTTAATTCCTTTTTTTGTGAGAATTTCAATCTTCATGAAAACTTTGTCAATTTTTATAAAACTTTGTCAATTTTTATATATGTGGAATTAAATCAGTCGATTTATACAAAATCTGTTAACAGTTATCATGTTTTTATCTTCACACATATTACCTGTAATTACATGTATAAGTTTGTACCGATTGTGTATACCATTGTACATTATATTGGAGTAGACTTACCATTCTGTGGCGACAGTGCCAGAGTTCTCAAACATCAGATTTACAATACAAGGATCACTGTCGAGTGGTGCCGAGCTGAAGTTAAAGTCGAGTATGGCTCTGGTGTACACCGGAGGACGACGACTGTGGCTGTAAGACAATACAACAGAAACATAATTAGATAGGGAAGATTCAGAAACGTTAAAATCTCGAATATATATAAGTCTCAGACAAATACTCAAACATGAATCTAAATCACGCAAACCTTGAAAAGTGCTAAAATAACTACAGTACTGAAACATACAGATTCTAAAATGAGATCATTAAAGTGAACATTGTTCAATTGTAGCTGAGTATTTGTTCTAACAAGGCTATTATCAGTTCATCGTTTCATCCTTTTTTCCCCAGCAATGTACCTGTGTCTGGTGGCCACACTGTAACGTAGCTCCTCAGTTGAGGGATCCGAGTCCAGACTAACATTTAAACTAGAAAAATGGAGAGAAAAAAAATTAAGAATATTTTCATAAATTAATTCCAAAAAAATCCTAGAAATGTCTTGCATAATTAACTATAAATTGTCAAGCAGGTCAATTTTTCCATTAAATATATGGAAAATGGACTAAAACATATATAATTCAATATTTTGTATCAAATGAAATTCAGAATTCTCTGTCTTATAAAAGTAGTTTTAGGTTATTTTAAGGTGTTTGGTGTAACTTGATTGGTAAAGCAAATGTCTTGTTGAATTCAGATTCAGCTTATACCACAATAAAACCTGCAAGTATCACAACACTCCAACCTGACAATCAAATACTTACTTGTCTAGTGAGAACAGACCCCAGAGTTGTTTTTTACTGATGCCGATGGCGCTACCGTAGCAGCGTGCGTCTGTGACAGACATAAAGGGGAACACTCCCGTCGTCAGCACATGACACAGATGTTGTGGCTCTTTTGCTGCATTATGGGTAATCGTACCTACAATACAAGGATACATTAATAATACCGATTCATTTGGACTAAGAATAGGATTTGTATACCAGTGTTTATTAGATATAACTCTAACATTTTTACACACCTCCCGACAACTCATCTTTTCTTAATATAAATGCTCATAAGAAGGAAATCTATTTTTTTTGATTATCTCAAACACATTTTTAAAAGTTGTATGTAATCAAACTACATACATCTCAAAGCTATTTATAAGTAGGGGGGACTGAATCAAAGCTATTTATATGTAGGGGGGACTGAATCAAAGCTATATATAAGTAGGGGGGACTGAATCAAAGCTATTTATAAGTAGGGGGAACTGAATCAAAGCTATTTATAAGTAGGGGGGACTGAGTCAAAGCTATTTATATGTAGGGGGGACTGAATCAAAGCTATTTATAAGTAGGGGGGACTGAATCAAAGCTATTTACTGACACAATCACATATCTGTCCCCAATTTACATATGTCACAGAATTGTTTTCAATCATTAATGAGGTTTCAAAGTTTGCAAAATCAATGTTATTTTCTTATAACCTTGATGCTACAGAATGAGATATAAAAAGTCTTTCTTACCCTCGGGAGTGATAAGTTGGTACGAGATGGCAAACTGGTAGGTTGATCTCCGAACTGGACAAACATTTGCCATGATGGTCTGTTTGGATCGTGCCGGTAGGATACCCTGCATCTTTTGCAGGACCAGAGCTGAGAAAAAAGAAATATCAGACGAGAGCTGAGTTACAAATATATCAATATACAAACTAGAGCAAATAGTCGGTTTTTATACAGACTCCTATCAAACCACTTTCCAATAGTATATCTATATATCTATCATTATTTAAAAATGAAACCGAATTATAGAAGGTGAAACATATTTAAATATATTCATACCAATTTTATCATCTCTTGTCACCTCTTCTGGATAAGGTCCATCCAGAGTCTGGTCAATAAAAAGCTTGTAATGAAGGGAACAGGAGCTGTCATTCGTAATGACGATGGTCTTGGATGCCGAACTTCCAACCACTACATCTCCAAAGTCAAGGTAAGATTGCTCTGCCTGGTGAAATGGTATCAATAATAATAAAATATAATGAACTTTTTAACAGTGGACTCCCAGAGTCAAAAGAGAAGGTTCTGATGCTCTGTCTGAATCAATTTATCCTTTTTCAATTTTAATTTTGTTCAAAACCTTTTTTTTTTAAGTTTGAAACCAGCATATCAAGAAAACTCAAGATCGTTATTATATGTCTGGTTGTAAAATATTTGTACATTCTCTTAGTAACTTCAATATGTTTCCCTTCTGGTCACTGGTTACTTTACAATTAATGAGTACACGTTCTTTTTATTTCTGAACTTGGTAAATTTGCGTTTTTTTTTTTTTTAATTATTTCAATTCTCCAGCAATAGTTGAGATAGGGATTGCCAGGGTTAAAGGGCCTTGGGTTTAATCCCCGAACAGTAAATTTACCTTGACATCGCCTACTGTTCCTTCCCCCACAGCACGTACGACAAACTGCTTCTTCTTCCCCCCAGAGGAATTGCTACTGAATCCCTGGCCCCACACAATGAGAGACGGCTTCATCACATATTTCTTCTCAGCATCAGGGACAAAGGACCATGTCTGGCACTGAATAAACAAGTTATTGCTTATATTGGATTATACAGAAGTCCACATCTTCTTCTCAGCATCAGGAACAAAGGACAAGCATACAAGTCCAATTTGTTTTTACCCACTGCTATTCTAAAATTTGTTGTTTGTTTTGGATTACACAAGTTAAATCAAAGTTTATTAAAACCATTTTGATGTTGCAAAGATTTCTCTTTAAATTCTCCTGCTTTGATGTTTATTCCGTGTACAGATGTGTAACAATTAACAGTAGGGTTTCCCAGTTTATTCATGGTTTATGCAATTATTTCACAATTATTTTACAATTATTTGAATAAAGGTCCAACAAAAGTTGCCCAATAAACTAAGAGTCAATTGAAGCCTACAAGATCACCAGATTTCAAATAATTTAGCCTTGGCTCCTGACCTGTTGGGTCAGTTACCTCCAGTATTTCCGTGAGTGTCAACATATATTACCACTTTGACCGGGTAACCTACCTGAGTTTCGTTTGGCTGTATAATCCCTCTGTCTGGCGTAACTGTAAGAAGCTTCCTTTCAGCGTGTGTAAAGTGCCACTCGTACCTACAAAAAGAACAAAATAACAATGTTATTATATAACCAAACAACTGATTTTTTTCGCTGACAGTAAATAAATCTACAAATCACATTAAAAAATAATTGTTAAAACTTAGAGGAGTGGGATACGGGACAGGTTTTTGATGGTGTAAGATTGAATGATGATAACTTACCTGAGTGGGATACGGGACAGGTTCTTGATGGTGTAAGATTTACATGATGATGTGCCGATACAGGTCTGCTTGAAAAACAAGTTGCCCTCCATGTCCAGGAGAACATGCGGAGCCTCAGCAGAACCCCACAGCTGGATCGACTGAAAAAACAAACACCACAGTTCAAATATGAACTTGATCCATTATCAGGAACTATGCTTACAAGATTCTGATTCCTCTTGAAAAACTAAAACACCAGCAAAAGTCATAAAATTAAAATCAAACCATCATACATTGTAAACAGCAGCAGATAAAAGACCTATAATCCAACAGAGAGTTTATTAACAAATTGAGTAAGTGGACCAATGACATAGCAGCTTACCTTGTTGTATTTCTCATTGTCGTTAAGTCTGAAGTTTAGACCATGTTTGTAAGTCTTCACTTCGGGAGGTGTGATCTTCACCACAAAGATCTGATGTTCGCCCCTCAGTAACGCTTTGGCTGGCTTCACCGCATACACACTGTCAGGTAAAGGGGGAGATATTTGATTAAAATTCAAACATTATCTTATAGATGTATGATGTATATACTATAAGTACATGTATATTTACAAATCATGACAGGTCAGCAATATAAAATATCAAAATTCCCACAAATGAGCAAAGACATCAGAGTATGGGAAAAACAATCTGATCTTCTCATAGAAAATATCAGAAAATTTTGTTGAAGAAATATAGTTTTTGGTCATCAATAACAATATTCACCTGTAAAATATGCAATCTTGACCTTTAATATCTTACAGAAAACAAAATAGTGTTTAGAGTACTCTTGCACTAAACTTACGAGGTTGGATCTTTCTCCACATCATAAAAGATGGGAGTGGTTCCATTGTTTGTGAAGAGGAGAGTGCGATACGTGGATTCCTTGGTGTTTACGGCGGGGAATATGAGGCGCTGTGAGTCCAGACTGAGGCGAGGAAGGAAGGTCTCGTTATTGGGCTGGAAAGTATGACCTGGAAAGGCACAATGTTATACCGTCACAATAGTCTGTAAGATCCAAGATCTAATATCTATCAAATAAAATATGGTACCATTTATAATTATTACAATATGAAATGGTCCTGAAATACAAGATGAAAACAGGAAAGGAAAAAATCTTATCTACCTAATCTCAACAGGCAAGTGTGTATAGATCTAACTCATCTGTACAGGTGAGAGGGGGTGGAGGAGGGGTCTAACCTTCCTGTATAGTTGAGAGGCCAATGGAGGGTCTAACCCTGTACATGAGATGCCAGGGAGGGAGGGTCTAACTTACCTGTACAGGTGAGAGGCCAGGGGAGGGTCTAACTTATCTGTATAGGTGAGAGGCCAGGGAAGGGTATAACTTACCTGTATAGGAGAGAGGCCGGGGGGGTGTCTAACCTACATGTATAGGTGAGAGGCCAAGGGAGGGTCTAACCCTGTATATGAGAGAGGCCAGGGAGGGAGGGTCTAACTTACCTGTACAGGTGAGTGTGGAACACCATGGAGGAAAGTGAGTCGTATCCTCCACCAGACGGTAGTCCCTCAGACTCTTGTAGTAGGTATAACATTCCAGCTCTGCTCCGTAAAACTGGTTAGGGGCATTCTGCAGGATAAAAAACACAAAGTTAACAGAGTTTCAAGTGAACATCATTTTTTACATTTTTATATGTAAGCTACTGTATAGACTTACTACAAGTGACTTTTCATGTGAAAGTTATTACTCTTCTCTCTATCATCCTCATAAGACACTGGCTGTTGCGAGGATGTTACAGTCCAAACAAACAAAACATTGCTCTATTTCAGTTTAGTTTGTACAAGGTTAAATGCAGTATAGATCAGATCACCATGGATAGATAACAGTACAAACTCACAGGCTTGAAGGACACCTGGAACGCGCAGGATTTCAGTGGGGGAATGTCCATCACCGAGGGAGTCACATAGAACGTCCTGTCTGACCCTGTAACAGTCACCTCTCTTACATCAACAATCTTTGTTACCATACATTAAACAAACGAAACATGTTATTTTCAAATCCTGACATATAAGTACACATGTAACTTGATTTAAGGTCAAGCAGCTGCATATTCTTTATTTGATTTCATTATATCCATCTCATCAACCAGATTTGTTAACATTTTTTAGGCTTTAGGGTTAACTGTGAGCTTACCTCCTATCCACTGGACAGTGACTTTGCCGCAGGTATGATTGGTCATATTCAGGATCTGTTAGAAAATGAACCAGAACATTTTTATAACTGATTCACCAGTGCATCATATAATTATAGCTGCAAACTGATAACAAACTTAAAAAAGAGTCAATTGCAGGATAATTTGAAATCTTATTGAACTGATGAATCATTGCTGGACCACACAGGTGACGGGTATTTTAGCAGTTTGCCACCAGATATAACGTGTGGGTAGGCACCCCTCCAGCCACTGACTACGCTAGACGTTACAGAACTAGCAAGCACATCTCAGGATTATACTACAAAAGTAGCGTTTTCCCCTCCTATTCCTTGGCTGTTTTACTCTATTTAAAGCATTTCAGGGTGAACAATAACCACAACAACAGACATTCAAAGTGTCAGAAGACCCTGTCTACAATGAACACAAAATGAACATATAAGCTGTTCATAATAGACAGGTTTTCTGATTGTACAGGTTCAGAAAGTAGGACCAAAATTAATGTTTCAAGATTATGAAGGGTTTGATTGAGACAGGCTTTACTCTAATGTCTTGCATTAGACATACACATCTGTCAAGGAAAAAATCAAATTATCTCAGTGTCACCCTACTTGGGGAGGGGTGTTTATTACCATGCATACAGTAACATCTCACTATAGACCTAGCCTTGACTACCATACCAACTACATCCTGATAAATCACCCCATACACCAATCAAGTATTACACTAGAAATATGTTTACTAATGATGTTACCGGTAATTGACCTAATAAACCTTTCACCACGGTAAACCATAATGGACTCATGATCATCCAGATCAATGAATGGTAGAGTCTACTAAAGTTGCATAGGGGTGAAAGGGTTAGATAATACATATTCCGTAGTACCTACCCGGTCCTCTACGAGTCGGATGTTCTGACATCTACCGAAGTCGGCATTGTTTATGTCCATACTGATGTGGGGAACAAATTGCTGCAATAGTCAAACACAGTCAAATAAACACACATTGTACTGTAGATAGCCAAACACAGTCAAATAAACACACATTGTACTGTAGAAAGTCAAACACAGTCAAATAAAGAAACATTGTACTGTAGATAGTAAAACACAGTCACATAAACAAACATTGTACTGTAGATAGCCAAACACAGGCAAATAAACAAACATTGTACTGTAGATAGTAAAGCACAGTCAAATAAACAAACATTGTACTGTAGATAGCCAAAAACAGTCAAATAAACACACATTGTACTGTAGATAGTAAAACACAGTATAAATCACCCCATACACCAGTCAAGTATTACACTAGAAATATGTTTACTAATGATGTTACCGGTAATTGACCTAATAAACCTTTCACCACGGTAAACCATAATGGACTCATGATCATCCAGATCAATGAATGGTAGAGTCTACTAAAGTTGCATAGGGGTGAAAGGGTTAGATAATACATATTCCGTAGTACCTACCCGGTCCTCTACGAGTCGGATGTTCTGACATCTACCGAAGTCGGCATTGTTTATGTCCATACTGATGTGGGGAACAAATTGCTGCAATAGTCAAACACAGTCAAATAAACACACATTGTACTTTAGATAGTAAAACACAGTCAAATAAACACACATTGTACTGTAGAAAGTCAAACACAGTCAAATAAAGAAACATTGTACTGTAGATAGTAAAACACAGTCAAAAAAACACACATTGTACTGTAGATAGTAAAACACAGTCAAAAAAACACACATTGTACTGTAGATAGTAAAACACAGTCAAAAAAACACACATTGTACTGTAGATAGTAAAACACAGTATAAATCACCCCATACACCAGTCAAGTATTACACTAGAAATATGTTTACTAATGATGTTACCGGTAATTGACCTAATAAACCTTTCACCACGGTAAACCATAATGGACTCATGATCATCCAGATCAATGAATGGTAGAGACTACTAAAGTTGCATAGGGGTGAAAGGGTTAGATAATACATATTCCGTAGTACCTACCCGGTCCTCTACGAGTCGGATGTTCTGACATCTACCGAAGTCGGCATTGTTTATGTCCATACTGATGTGGGGAACAAATTGCTGCAATAGTCAAACACAGTCAAATAAACACACATTGTGCTGTAGATAGTAAAACACAGTCAAATAAACACACATTGTGCTGTAGATAGTAAAACACAGTCAAATAAACACACATTGTGCTGTAGATAGTAAAACACAGTCAAATAAACACACATTGTACTGTAGAAAGTCAAACACAGTCAAATAAAGAAACATTGTACTGTAGATAGTCAAACACAGTCAAATAAACAAACATTGTACTGTAGAGAGTAAAACACAGTCAAATAAACAAACATTTTACGATGTTTAGATGTTACCCAATAAGGCAGACTAAGGGATGCTGTAGATAGTAAAACCTACCCAATAAGGCAGACTAAGGGATGCTGTAGATAGTAAAACCTACCCAATAAGGCAGACTAAGGGATGCTGTAGATAGTAAAACCTACCCAATAAGGCAGACTAAGGGATGCTATAGATATTAAAACCTACCCAATAAGGCAGACTAAGGGATGCTGTAGATATTAAAACCTACCCAATAAGGCAGACTAAGGGATGCTGTAGATATTAAAACCTACCCAATAAGGCAGACTAAGGGATGCTGTAGATATTAAAACCTACCCAATAAGGCAGACTAAGGGATGCTATAGATATTAAAACCTACCCAATAAGGCAGACTAAGGGATGCTATAGATAAGATAGTAAAACACAGTCAAATAAACAAACATTTTACGATGTTTAGATGTTACCCAATAAGGCAGACTAAGGGATGCTGTAGATATTAAAACCTACCCAATAAGGCAGACTAAGGGATGCTATAGATATTAAAACCTACCCAATAAGGCAGACTAAGGGATGCTGTAGATAGTAAAACCTACCCAATAAGGCAGACTAAGGGATGCTATAGATATTAAAACCTACCCAATAAGGCAGACTAAGGGATGCTGTAGATAGTAAAACCTACCCAATAAGGCAGACTAAGGGATGCTATAGATATTAAAACCTACCCAATAAGGCAGACTAAGGGATGCTGTAGATATTAAAACCTACCCAATAAGGCAGACTAAGGGATGCTATAGATAAGATAGTAAAACACAGTCAAATAAACAAACATTGTACTGTAGAGAGTAAAACACAGTCAAATAAACAAACATTTTACAATGTTTAGATGTTACCCAATAAGGCAGACTAAGGGATGCTGTAGATAGTAAAACCTACCCAATAAGGCAGACTAAGGGATGCTATAGATAAGATAGTAAAACACAGTCAAATAAACAAACATTGTACTGTAGATAGTAAAGCACAGTCAAATAAACAAACATTGTACTGTAGATAGTAAAGCACAGTCAAATAAACAAACATTGTACTGTAGATAGTAAAACACAGTCAAATAAACAAACATTTTACAATGTTTAGATGTTACCCAATAAGGCAGACTAAGGGATGCTGTAGATAGTAAAACCTACCCAATAAGGCAGACTAAGGGATGCTATAGATATTAAAACCTACCCAATAAGGCAGACTAAGGGATCGCTATAGATATTAAAACCTACCCAATAAGGCAGACTAAGGGATGCTGTAGATATTAAAACCTACCCATTAAGGCAGACTAAGGGATGCTGTAGATATTAAAACCTACCCAATAAGGCAGACTAAGGGATACTATAGATATTAAAACCTATCATGGCTTGATGTCTGGTTAACTTATTACAGAACAAATAATACATAACAGCTGGCAATGTAAGTTAGAAACAATCAATGAGTTGTCCAAATAAATGCACTTCTTAACTTCAAAACATTATACTGTTTACGAGTGACAAGAATTTGAATGAAGTACTGTACTTCATACACCCGCAGACAGAGGTTTGACAGAATAAAATGGCAAAGCAATGAGAAGTTATGGTCCATAAAATCCTACAATCATTTGGCTATTGACCCCATGCCTAATCAATAGTTTTGGGTACAACATAAAATGGCCAGGTAACACTTCTCTTCTGTTCATGAAACTGATTTACATATAAATGAAATTTCATACAAAAACACAATCAAAACGTAGGGTCCAGAAAAACACAGTTATACTAATATGACATTTGACCTCTTATCATGACCTTGACCTTTAAGATACAAACATCAAAGTGCTATACAACAATCTGTCTCTTCATGAGGATCATGCAATATTTCATTAGAAAAGGTTCAGTAATTCCAAGGATTTGGTCTGAACAAGCATTATACATATTTGACATTTGACCCTCTTCACTGACCTTGACCTTTAGGATACTGACCCGGAAGTAACACATCTGGTCAAGTTAAACCTATCTGTTTATGTTTATATGGAAATATAAAGATGTTAAGATGAAATTTTTTAAAGTTTAGATTACTCACCACAACGTCGCTATGGAAACCGTCGTTAAAGTACTGGTCCATTATGGGAACATCTTCATATTCATTTACAGTTTTGTCGACCGACTGTCCCTGTCAATCAAACCATCAAAAACATCCACTTAATTTCTCAATCCGGAAGTTCACACATATTTCACATTATACATATTTTACTTTAGGTTGTAAATGCATATAAATTAATTCGGACAATTTTAAACATATGTAATCATTTAACAAAAAGGATATTTATTTGATTTTACATTAACCCTGCCACCCCTCTGTAACTTAGTAGACTCTAATATGCATTGATATGGATGAGTCCATTATGGTCTACAGTGGTGAAAGGGTTAACCCTATTTAAGACCTGAATATGGTACATATCCCCTTTTATTAATTCAGAAAGTTCTCTTACTCTGGATGTTAAACGTTGTTGACAGAGTACCATAAAACATCTACTGTCTGACAATCCAACAAAATACTTCACATTCATTTTATTTTTTAATGAACCTGATCAATCTCATAAGATCAGATTTACCACACTAACTCATTTCATTGAGAGAAGATTTTACAAGTAAACACTACACTACATGTATCTCTTATTTTCAAAGTTGTCAGACAACTTAACATTCGTGAGATAAAAATGTTAATCTTATCAATTTATTTTTATCATAATTTAATTGCGTATTTCTACCTCACAGAGGGAAGACGATAAACATTTTCATAAATGTCTTTTTCAAAAAATCTGGTTCCTTGTAAATTACATAGCTTGAATATATATAAATATATAGGATACTTTCTACATACTGAAGAACAAACATAAAGAAGTATGTATACTGAAGAAAAACTAAAAATTGTAATAGTTAAAGGGGTTAGAATTCGGATCTCTGAGGATAAGTAACAATAAGTAATTAAGCATTACAAATCCTATCTATTACTTAATGGAAAAATCTGTTGTCTATATTGGATGTTTGATATACTGTATAAATATTTACGCAGCAGGTGTTTTTTCCAGCACATTCAGTGGTATCTAGGGTGCACTAACTAATGGCACTAATTCTACAAGTACATGTTTTCTCAACTTTTGCTCACAGAGAAGAGCCGCTGATGGTATGCTAAGTATGATAACCCTAATAGACACTGATGTAATACTGAGCATTAAAATATTAGAGCCCAAATATAAAACTAACACATTCACTGCATATGACTTTAACTTCACTTCTAAACAGCAAAAACTAGAAGTATTCCATTATATCTGTCTAAATAATAAAGTTTGACACAAATTTAATTTTGTAATTTACATTAAAACTATTTTTAGACAAAAAATGCTGACCTTGTATCTATTTTAACCAGTTTAGTTCATATTATTCAAACACAGTCCTTTTTAATATCTTACATTTAATGACAGGGAGTCCATGTAAGTTTCAAATTAATTTCTCATAGTGAAAGTCCGCAACACTACAGTCTATTATAATAAGATAAAACATACAGAAGGACAATTCTAATGTTTAACTGAAAATCAAAAGGATTTGAAATTGAGAAATAAAAAAAATACTTAAAGCAGCCGTGTGCTTTAACACAGGAGACTGATACCAGACAACAAACAGATGGACTTGTATCAAACTTTGTCAACTAGATATAAAAAATAATGGGAAATTTTTAATCGCCGATATTTTTTTTTATATATTTTTTTTTGAAACATTTTCAGCATTACAAAATATCTTACAATATTAATTTTCACACTCACTTGTTCATTCTTGCAATGTTATATCTTTGGTAGACCAGAAATAGACTATATGTATTTCTAAATTTCCCATCCAAATGTACCTAATTGTTTAAATGTCTAATTTATTTTTAAGTCAATACATTGATATTTTTTTCGATATTTTCATAATTATCAAAACTGAAAACAAATGTCCAACAATTTTAAATGATCATACCTAGACATTTTTTCACCAAGATAACACATATTTCTACCCTTGTTTTTTTCCAAAAAATATTATTAATTTGATAATTTGACTTAACATAGATATGCGTTATGCAGCTGATGATACTTGGTAAGCCAAACACTAACATGTACATGTACTAGGCTTGTTTATCTAGTATGTATCAGGTAGGTAAGCCAAAGCAAGGACACTTCATGCAACAGACCTTAAACACAAACAGTAATGCAAGCAAATACATATGACATAAGATTATCTAACTAATACACTTACATTGAGAGTGGTGCAGCAGGGGATACAAAACTTGTTTGTAATTTGAATATATGAACTACAGAGTTGTTACTTCACTTAACATTCTCTATTCGTAATAGACTTACAAATTTCAAATTCAATTCATTTAGGAAAACCTGAACTGCTTATATATAATATCATATTAATAAACAGAAAAATAACAATTAAGGAAACAGCAATAAAAAAAAAAATACTTTCAAATTTTTTGGTTCTTTTTCTTCCAAATTAAAAGTCTGTTGAAATCAAACTTTCAGAAAAATGGAAAAAAAGAAAGAAACAAAAAACAGAAATCAAATAAAAGTCATTAGGACGTTTACTTTGTTATTCAAAATGAATTTGAAAAAGATGTTGCTATTTAAAATTGAATTTCAAGAAATTTGTAAGTCAAGAATTGACAAAACTCTTTACCCCATCTGGAATTATGATTTTCACAGGCCAATCCTGAGCAAGTGAGAAAATGGAGCAAGGTCATGAAAATGAAAGAAAGATGTGTTAGATAAAAAATCACAGGTGAGTAGAAAATCAACTGGTGAGTGACAAAGCAATAATATACGAAAAGATTACCTCCCCTGACTCAAATGTATGGTTACTTGATCACGCCCACCGATCATTGTTATTTGATCATCAAACACCTGAGACCAACATTAAGAATGAACAATAGCACTCTTTATTTCAGAGTGAAGAAAAATTCGACCAATAAAAGGTACAACAGTTATCTCACTGGATAACATGTATTTGATAAGGGGAGGTAATCTAATAATATCTAGTTGAATGCAATGCAAAAATTACTAGATATTAGATTCATATTTCACTCACTGCAACTGTATTAGTGATAAAATAACCTGTGATTCATAGCATTCCTTGTGAATTGGTGAAGCCACACGATGTAGGTTAACCACACGAACAGCCTCAGTCCAAGACCTGACCAATAACCCCCTCCCTTCCCTAACATCCACACTACCCCGTCCTCCCTATACCCTGGGACAGGACATGTGATATGTTAAACTGAGACCTGACCAATAACCCCTCCCTTTCTTAACCCCTCCCTTCCCTATCGCCCACACTATCCTGTACTCCCTATACACTGGGACAGGACATGTGATATGTTTAACTGAGACCTGACCAATAACCTCTCCCTTTCCTAATCCCTCCCTTCCCTATCGTCCACACTACCCTGTCCTGCCTATACCCTAGGACAGGACATGTGATATGTAAAATTGTGACCTGACCAATAACCCCTCCCTTCCCTATCATTCACACTACCCCATCCTCCCTATACACTGGGACAGGACATGTGATATGTTAAATTGAGACCTGACAAATAACCCCTCCCTTCCCTATCGTCCACACTACCCAGTCCTCCCTATACCCCGGGACAGGACATGTGATATGTTAAACTGAGATGTTTATACAGGAAGAACACGGACCAACATCAACATCATATCTATACGTGTGTCGACATGCAGGAACTGGAAATGGCAGGGAGTTTACAGTATATGATATCATGCACTTCTTAAGGAGCAAGTACATGTACAAGTTATAATTTGTCCATATATAACAGCTATATATGGGACTGGGTTGATTTAGGTTAACCATTGGTATAATTTGTCCATATATAACAGCTATATATGGGACTGGGTTGATTTAGATTAACCATTGGTATAATATGTACATATATAACAGCTATATATGGGACTGGGTTGATTTAGGTCAACCATTGGTATAATATGTACATATATAACAGCTATATATGGGACTGGGTTGATTTAGGTCAACCATTGGTATAATATGTACATATATAACAGCTATATATGGGACTGGGTTGATTTAGGTCAACCATTGGTATAATATGTACATATATAACAGCTATATATGGGACTGGGTTGATTTAGGTCAACCATTGGTATAATATGTACATATATAACAGCTATATATGGGACTGGGTTGATTTAGGTCAACCATTGGTATAATATGTACATATATAACAGCTATATATGGGACTGGGTTGATTTAGGTCAACCATTGGTATAATATGTACATATATAACAGCTATATATGGGACTGGGTTGATTTAGGTCAACCATTGGTATAATATGTACATATATAACAGCTATATATGGGACTGGGTTGATTTAGGTCAACCATTGGTATAATATGTACATATATAACAGCTATATATGGGACTGGGTTGATTTAGGTCAACCATTGGTATAATATGTACATATATAACAGCTATATATGGGACTGGGTTGATTTAGGTCAACCATTGGTATAATATGTACATATATAACAGCTATATATGGGACTGGGTTGATTTAGGTCAACCATTGGTATAATATGTACATATATAACAGCTATATATGGGACTGGGTTGATTTAGGTCAACCATTGGTATAATATGTACATATATAACAGCTATATATGGGACTGGGTTGATTTAGGTCAACCATTGGTATAATATGTACATATATAACAGCTATATATGGGACTGGGTTGATTTAGGTTAACCATTGGTATAATATGTCCATATATAACAGCTATATATGGGATTGGGTTGATTTAGGTCAACCATTGGTATAATATGTCCATATATAGCAGCTATATATGGGACTGGGTTGATTTAGGTCAACCATTGGTATAATATGTCCATACATAACAGCTATATATGGGACTGGGTTGATTTAGGTCAACCATTGGTATAATATGTACACATATAACAGCTATATATGGGACTGGGTTGATTGAGGTTAACCATTGGTATAATATGTACATATATCACAGCTATATATGGGACTGGGTTGATTCAGGTTAACCATTGGTATAATATGTACATATATCACAGCTATATATGGGACTGGGTTGATTCAGGTTAACCATTGGTATAATATGTACATATATCACAGCTATATATGGGACTGGGTTGATTCAGGTTAACCATTGGTATAATATGTACATATATCACAGCTATATCTGGGACTGGGTTGAGTCAGGTTAACCATTGGTTATAATATGTACATATATAACATCTATATATGGGACGGGGTTGATTTAGGTCAACCATTGGTATAATATGTACACATATAACAGCTATATATGGGACTGGGTTGATTAAGGTTAACCATTGGTATAATATTTACATATATAACATCTATATATGGGACTGGGTTGATTTAGGTCAACCATCGGTATAATATGTACATATATAACAGCTCTATATGGGACTGGGTTGATTTAGGTCAACCATCGGTATAATATGTACATATATAACAGCTCTATATGGGGCTGGGTTGAGTCAGGTCAACCGTTGGTATAATATGTACATATATAACAGCCATATATGGGACTGGGTTGATTTAGGTTAACCATTGGTATAATATGTACATATATATAACAGCTATATATGGGACTGGGTTGATTGAGGTTAACCATTGGTATAATATGTACATATATAACTGCTATATATGGGACTGGGTTGAGTCAGGTTAACCACTGGCATAATATGTACATATATCACAGCTATATATGGGACTGGGTTGATTCAGGTTAACCATTGGTATAATATGTACATATATCACAGCTATATATGGGACTGGGTTGATTCAGGTTAACCATTGGTATAATATGTACATATATCACAGCTATATATGGGACTGGGTTGATTCAGGTTAACCATTGGTATAATATGTACATATATCACAGCTATATCTGGGACTGGGTTGAGTCAGGTTAACCATTGGTATAATATGTACATATATCACAGCTATATATGGGACTGGGTTGATTCAGGTTAACCATTGGTATAATATGTACATATATATAACAGCTATATATGGGACTGGGTTGATTGAGGTTAACCATTGGTATAATATGTACATATATCACAGCTATATCTGGGACTGGGTTGAGTCAGGTTAACCATTGGTTATAATATGTACATATATAACATCTATATATGGGACGGGGTTGATTTAGGTCAACCGTTGGTATAATATGTACATATATAACAGCCATATATGGGACTGGGTTGATTTAGGTTAACCCTTGGTATAATATGTACATATATCACAGCTATATCTGGGACTGGGTTGAGTCAGGTTAACCATTGGTTATAATATGTACATATATAACATCTATATATGGGACGGGGTTGATTTAGGTCAACCATTGGTATAATATTTACATATATAACAGCTATATATGGGACTGGGTTGATTAAGGTTAACCATTGGTATAATATTTACATATATAACAGCTATATATGGGACTGGGTTGATTCAGGTTAACCATTGGTATAATATGTACATATATCACAGCTATATCTGGGACTGGGTTGAGTCAGGTTAACCATTGGTTATAATATGTACATATATAACATCTATATATGGGACGGGGTTGATTTAGGTCAACCATTGGTATAATATGTCAATACATAAAAGCTATATATGGGACTGGGTTGATTTAGGTCAACCATTGGTATAATATGTACACATATAACAGCTATATATGGGACTGGGTTGATTGAGGTTAACCATTGGTATAATATGTACATATATATAACAGCTATATATGGGACTGGGTTGAGTCAGGTCAACCATTGGTATAATATGTACATATATAACATCTATATATGGGACGGGGTTGATTTAGGTCAACCATTGGTATAATATGTTCATATATAACAGCTATATATGGGACTGGGTTGATTCAGGTTAACCATTGGTATAATATGTACATATATATAACAGCTATATATGGGACTGGGTTGATTAAGGTTAACCATTGGTATAATATTTACATATATAACATCTATATATGGGACTGGGTTGATTTAGGTCAACCATCGGTATAATATGTACATATATAACAGCTCTATATGGGTCTGGGTTGAGTCAGGTCAACCGTTGGTATAATATGTACATATATAACAGCTATATATGGGACTGGGTTTAGTCAGGTTAACCATTGGTATAAGATGTACATATATAACAGCTATATATAGTATATAACAGCTCTATATGGGTCTGTGTTGAGTCAGGTCAACCGTTGGTATAATATGTACATATATAACTGCTATATATGGGACTGGGTTGAGTCAGGTTAACAATTGGTATAATATGTACATATATAACTGCTATATATGGGACTGGGTTGAGTAAGGTTAACCATTGGTATAATATGTACATAGATAACAGCTATATATGGGACTGGTTTGAGTCAGGTTAACCATGGGTATTATATGTACATATATAACAGCTATATATGGGGCTGGGTTGAGTCAGGTTAACCATGGGTATTATATGTACATATAGAACAACTATATATAGGACCGGGTTGATTTAGGTTAACCATTGGTATAATATGTACATAGATAACAGCTATATATGGGACTGGGTTGAGTCAGGTTAACCATTGGTATAATATGTGATGAAGACATGCACCAGGAAACAGCTAAGCAACATTCCTCAATCATGCAACTTTGAAAACAGAAAAATGTTGAAAACAGGTTATTTTTGACCCATTGTAAAATGTACACATGTATTAAAATGTGATGTAAACTATAAGAAATTTGTTCAAATTCATACTCTACTGACATCAAAATCCCAAACGTCTGTGACTTATCTTGTTCAAGTAAAGCCAAAATTCTCAGAGATACAATTCTATATAGAAAAGTCTACTGTTCTAGAAATATAAACAATTATGTTTTATTTCTAGATAGGTTAAATTTACTCTAGAATTATCTCACAATTAGTGTTATTCACCATAACGCTATGCTCACACAATCTATATCAATAAGTGTAAAATCACTGTGCGCCACCGTGAAAACCACTTCATCAAAAAAACGTTAGGTGTGGAACACACAAACATATAAGAATGTCAATTCTACAGATAAATCAGTTTTACCTCCCGCAATGTCAGAGCCCCATTTTCATCGATGTCCAACTTTCCTGTATGTGTCAGCTCATTCAATTGCTAGAAAATTGTTATTAAAAAGTACATTTGTTAACATGAAAACAGAACACACTGTATTTATGTTATAATTTCAAAAACGAATATATAATTAATTTTTCATGAAATAAAATATTGAGAATACATTATGTTTTTATTGATCTATTGCATCACTTAAAGCTTGTCAAGCTTGTTGTCTATATAATTTTTGTATTGCTTATTCTAATATTTACAAGAGGCCCATGGGCCTTAACGGTCACCTGAGTCCTACAGTATTAATTTTTGTTATTGAAATATGAAGTGTTGATAGTGATTTCAATCACCCCTACCAAAATTTGAGTAAAAAAAGTTAAGTATAATGTTCAGTTAAGTTTGTCAGGACCATGAATTGATCATTCCTAGACAGAGTTTCTGTTAAATCGGCCTATTAGAACTTGATTTTAAGTTTTAGTTTTATTCCAAAATGGCAGCCGTGGCACACTTTGCCAGGACCATGAGTCGATCATTTCTACCAAGTTTCAGTTAAATTGGCCCAGTAGAACTTGACTTTAAGTTTGAAATAGTTATTTACCATATTGGATTTCGGATCGACCCGAAAAATAACTATACTTTGTCAGGACCAAAAGTTGATCACTCATACCAAGTTTCAATTAAATAGGCCCAGTTGAACTTGACTTTATGATTGAAATAGTTTTTTCAAAATGGCAGCCGTGGTGGCCATATTGGATTTCTAATTGAGCCGAAAAATAACAACACTTGGTCAGGGAGTTGTCAGTAACATTCCCATGTAAAATGTTAACGGATGAAGCATGACACAAGAAGACAGACAAAGACGGATACCTAAAGCTCAGGTGACCTAAAAAATCAACCAATATTTAATATCTGAATACAGGAAAAATTTCAAGAAGAATATCATTAATTATCTCTAGTAGGAATATATAGTAAAAAATTAATTCATGGGTGCGAAGGAATATATCAATTTGTCAAAAATATATTGCGTTACTTTATTAGGTATTATAATTTACTGCAACACTTGTTTTGAGTGGCAGTTCACAGCCCTATGATACAGTACCTCTGGAGGATAAAGACTCAATCCTCGGTGTACGTGGGCTTTGTAACGATTCAGATGCTTGCCCAGAAGAACGGCTGGTTTAACCATTTCAGCGTGACAGGTACCCAGAAGTTCCAGGAATAGCGGTCCCTAAACAAATACATTTTAAATCTGTGATTGATCAAAATCATGAAGAAACACATATGTAAAATCCCTGAAATAACTCTTGGAATATACAAACTTTTTTTTACCAATTGGTTGGGGACTTCCTTCCAACAGACTGAAACAGTCTTCAATATATTCTTATTATTATACAAAAGGACACATGCAGTTGCATTAGACGCAGACAACCATTCACAAGGCCGATAAAAATGACTGTTGATATACATACTTAAAGATCATATTCATATATCTGAAAAAAGTAGCCCAAAATGGCAGGAATAAAACTGGCATCTATCAGTACAGGATTTAGAACACTGTAAAATGTTGTAAAAGCAGGATTTTATACTGGCCTAGTCATAATTCACTGAATTCATAAACCCATACTCGCCAACTCTCCCTATTTAGGAGGGAGACTCTTGATTCTGGACCCTTAAATTTAGTATTTTAAACCAGTAAATTTGCTAAACTATTCCTATATTCTCAGATCAAATAATTGCACCTCGGAGATAACAACTCGAAATATTTCATTTTAAAGGGTCATCTTGTTTCTAGGGGTATATATACACATTTTATTTATGTTTTCATTTTGAGCATGCAGAATCTACCTCATGGAAATTTGAAAGTTGGGAGGTATATAAACCTACACTTCAGATCTAGACCAAATCACAAGTAACATTGTCAGTGTTTTACTGTACAAATGAACCGATCAAAACATCACCTACCTGGTTATGGATCATACAGGTGACTTGTCGGTGATAACACCACCTACCTGGTTATGGATCATACAGGTGACTTGTCGGTGATAGTTGATTGGATGTTGGGGGTGGAACTTGAGGATGATCGTTGATTTCGTGTTTGGACGTAACACACCAGATATCTTCTCAAACTTGAAAACACTTTCATTGCAGTCGATCATGAACTGTAAAAAAGATAACAAAGAAACTTATTTTTAATCTTCCCCATATCAAAATAAGTATTAAGACCTTTTAAGCTCAAGAAAATTTGATAATATTCAACATTTAAATACCAATATATATATGTTAATGTCATTTTTCATCAAGAATTCTAAAGTACAGTATTCTTTGTGTATGTCCGAACAATATTTTAAAAACATAGCTGGCTTGGGCTCAGGATGAAACGTTATTTCTGCTCCTGCAATTTTATTTAAATGAGTGTCCTCACTGTAACCCATCCCTATCCGTCTCAGTAATCTGTAAACTATCGGAGGTTTAAGTCAACTTTTGTAATTTAAACAGCTGTAGAGTGAAACAGGACTACACAGACATCAGGGTCTAATGTAGCTAAAATATGATGGTAACTCAGAAAAGACAGAGTAGAAGAAAAGAAACCTAGTTTGGATCATGTCGGATATTACAGGTTGTCATTCAAGTCATGTGACAGTATATTGAGGTTTCACTACAGGATATGTAAATCACCTGGTAAACAGCCTCCACATCAGAAGTGTTGACGAGGTCCACTGTCCTTGTGCCCACATCATTGATATCAATCTGCATGAAGTTCACCACCTTAGAGCTCAGCTGTACCGTAGGACCTTCAATAACAATGAACAACATAAGAACGTATACACAGGATAAATATAAGTTACCCAGACCTTGATCATCCGGATTATCTTCGTAATTAAATTCTGTAGCAGAACTGTTTTTTGAATGCCACCTTTTACCCCTGATTTGTGTCATAGTTGTAACTCTTGAATATATCCTTACTTAGCATTTCAAATGGCCTTAAAATATATGACTGCAATACATCAACACCTGGGTACCTTTCAAATATGTCATCACTTATTAGAGTCTAGTATTACTAAATACATTTTACAGGAACACACTTAGACTGAACTATAGGCAGAGCTAAAAAATGCAGTTTCAGAGAATAAATATCAAAACTAAACACATCCTTCTTTCACGCGTCCACTACATTAAAAAGGTATCTTACTGCGCCTGTTGTTTTCTTTCGACTGGGCTGGCGGAAAGGGGCCATAATATCAAGACAATACTCGTTTGACAAAACTAATCCAGAAAATTGATTTAACATACTGCGGGAAATTTTCCCAAACATAAAACTGTCACACAAACCTTTAGAGGATCCACTACACTTGATGACACTCTTGCTGACGTTGCCGATAGCGACGACGTTGAAATAGTCCGTACTGGTCGTATCGACAGTGTTAGGACTGTATGTGAACTGTAAAAACAATCACTCATGTTGATACCAAACAAAGAATAGTCAAAGTTAGAATAATTAAAACATGACTTCTGTATACATTTGAAAAAACAAATCTTTTCTCACTCCTCATCTTTTGAATAACTATTGAAATACCTTATTTGTACTATTTTATTCATGAGGGAAATTGATACATGGAAGGGCAGGGAGATTCTATTTTGTGACCCAATCACTCAAAAAAAAAATCTGGTTTTTATTTTAGAACACAGTAAGAGTTGTTTTCAATTATTAACAAATATTAGAAACATGTCCATTCATGATCCCACGGAGAGTTAAAACTTTGATGTCACAGCTGTCAACAAATTACAAAAAGACATCAAAACGTTTCTACTTCACTAAATCGAGAATCAACAGGCATAAACAAATATTCAGAGGTATTGCCTCAGTATGTCTCTGTTTCATTAAGATTCAGATTGAGATTCAGATTCAGATTCAGATTATGAATCATTCATAAGGTAATTCTTATAATTCTTATTATTCAGAATGAGCTACATTATCAGAGTTTGACTTAACACAACCAAGCAACTTACTGGAATCTTGACAGATCCCATGGGTGGGACTATCCCAGTTTTCTGGGAACAGTCATATACTGTATCTATCCTGGTGTTCGACGGATGTTCCACCTTGTAAGGCGCTCTTACCTTCAGTGTGAGAAAACAAATCAATAAATAAAAAAATGTAATATAATAGCTGTTGAGTCAATCTATCATATCAGAAAGGATACCAGATAACAGTGAATGATGGATCCATCAGATATGTCAGGAATTTTCTCCCTTGTAAAAGTTTTCACCTGCTCAAATTTTATAACAAGGCGAACTTATATGAGCATGTACGTTTAAATCCAAAAACATGATTTGCAAAACGCCACTGTTGTTTTCATAAATCTAAAAAAAATGGACTTACTTTAGAAGTTTTTATTATTTTTACTAGAATATATTTTTCTGTGGTTTTACATCAGATTAAGGAAATTACAATACATGTAATATAGATTGAAGCTGGAAATGGGTACAATTTCCTTATCTAAAAAATGAACAGTTGTCATTACTACATTCTGTATATCACTGGTCCCAGGTTGATACAACGTTATTCTGGGTTTACAAAACTCAATCCTTTTATGGGAAGAACCCCATATCCTATAACAATATGATCTTAACCAAATTTATCACATAGTATCATATCTCAATTGGTCTCTTACCGGAGCCAGATTGTGAAGCTCCACCCACTTCTGTGTGGTCGAGCCTACAGGGGTGGGACCAAACTGGACGGCTGCCTCCAAGTTTTCCTTATTTAGTGTTGTGGCAGGTTTACCTGGACTTGATACCAGAATATGAGGATATTTACCTGAAAGAATTCAACATTATTTAGCAAGATATACAATTTCTGAAAATCAGAGTTCTGTTGTTCACAGACTTATTTATAACGAGTTAATAATTTAAAAATAAAATTAATAAACTCAAAAATGTTTCTAAATTACAAATCATAAAGATATAAACGTCGGCTTTATAAACTTAAGTAATTAAATTAGGTGTTTTTTTACCCGTGTTCTGGTCAGTGATTGGTGGAAATTCAAAACTAGTCATCCATTCTATTTAGGGGTGAATGGGTTAAGATTTGAATAACTTACCGATTCCTTCTAACTTTGTGACCTTTCCCAAACTGAGGTCAGGCCCATACAAACAGACAGCCTCGCCCTGGTACACACAGGCATTCTACAAAGTAACAGACCATCTTTGTAGTAAATCATTACTTAACAAGATTCTAAACCATCATTTCTCACTCATAACAATTGATCTGCTTTCATCATCAGGCCTTAATTAAGAGACACCCTGGTCAGCAGTGTGTTTAGTCCTTTCAGATTGATCATAGATAAGGCATTATAATGGCAATTACCATAATAAACAGAAATAAATAATTATAGAATAAACAGAAAGCTCTAAATAATTAGAATAATTATAGAATAAACGACATGTTTACGATCCATAAAGGATAAGTAGGCAAGTGATTGAGCGTCAACACCAAGATTTTCGTAAGCGTCAACACCAATGTTTTCGTAAGCGTCAACACCAAGATTTTCGTAAGCGTCAACACCAATGTTTTCGTAAGTGTCAACACCAATGTTTCGTAAGCGTCAACACCAAAGTTTTCGTAAGCGTCAACACCAATGTTTTCGTAAACGTCAACACCAAGGTTTTCGTAAGCGTCAACACAAAGGTTTTCGTAAGCATCAACACCAAGGTTTTCGTAAGCGTCAACACCAAGTTTTTCGTAAACGTCAACACCAAGGTTTTCGTAAGCGTCAACACCAAGGTTTTCGTAAGCGTCAACACCAAGGTTTTCGTAAACGTCAACACCAAGGTTGTCGTAAGTGTCAACACCAAGGTTTTCCTAAATGTAAGTTGTATTTGTTAACATGTTTCAGATGGCTAAGCCAACTGTCATCAGAACAACCTAAAAAAGTACAAAAACTAGTGTTATGTATATATATGCAAAATACTGACAGAAGGGTCAACACTGTTTGTTCTTATTTTTTTGAGAATGGATTAAACCTGTAGTGAAAAGCAGGTAGGATTTTCTAAGCATTTAATGTTGAGAATCAATTCCAATGATATAAATTATGTCCTTTCTGTTAACTTACTGATGGTTTAAATGTGGCCTTGAAAGACTTGGAGGTGTTGGACTTAAGGATAGCACTGACAGGTTCGATAGTGAATGGGTCGCCACATTTCCACTGAACATGTGTTTCCAGATCTCTATAAAACAACAGTGAAAAATCAATGTAATCAAAATCCATTTAACATATATCAAAAACAGTGATTACATAATTATAATTACATTTTTTTCTAACTATATTTTTTTAAGGTAATTGCAACAAGTTTGTTACTTTAAGTAAAAGCATTTCAGAAATACCAGTGAATATCAATGAGATTTAAGCTGTATGTGAATTGTTCTGGTACTTCAGTGTTGAGCCTCATTAAAAGATTCAAACTTGTTAAAAATGGAGAGAAGCTATAAAAAGTACATTTGTTAACTAATTTCACGCCATGATAATTCAGAAACAGTTAAGCAGGTTTTTGAACTGAATGAGAATATAAAAATAAGAAGCTGGATCTTACCCAGTGTTGGAAACTTGAAAGTTGCTCTCTACAATATCCTTAGCGGCACACATGCTGAAATCCAGGGAAGCAGGCACAACAATATCCACTTCTGGCAGAACGGCCCGGATTGGAACCTCAAATGATCCATCCTACAAAGAAAATACCAGATCTATTTTTATTCTGCTGAATTTAATCAATTTCTGGGAACTACTGGGGTAAGAAGAAAACAGACATGATTTATTTAATACATTTAAGTTCCTGTAAATCACCAACAGGTTGCTGATGGTTCTGACTAAATATGGTGATAATCTGTGCCTTTGCTCAGGACGAGTAGACTTTTGAAGATTAAATTGCTTATTTTACCCTGTTTTATGCTCTTTTAATTCTCTGCCCATCTTCCTACAGGGGTTGCATCAACTTCATTTGTACAGCCGTATGATTAAATTTCCTAGTTTTGTAATAATTAAGTGTGGTTGGTGTCTGTCAAAAAGATTTGGACAGGTTGCTTAGAGCAGTCTTTGTGGCAGGTTTCCAATTTTGCTCATTATCAAGGAGTCATTTTATTAGTAAAATGATGAAGATTTTAATAGAAACAGTCACAAGATACTCATTTATTCTTGCTGCATAATCTTCAGAAACTCATAAATAACTACCAATGCCTTCTTTTGTTTAAACTCTGAATCGTTGCTCATTTGCTAAGCATGCAAATTTACAGCCACACACCTTTGTTTGGAATTCAATTTTATCTTCATATAAGACCTTCTCCAATGGTCTGAAGGTGACAGGCAGAGAAAAGCTGGTTCCTGCACTCAACACCACAGGTTTTGGGTACAGGGTGGTAAAAAAACGGCTGCTGGGGTTTCTGTAGTACAAGCAGAACACAATCTAAATAAAATATCAATTCAATTTGTGCATATCATTTGTTTTTATGTGAACATAAAAAAAAACTGTTGAGATTTCTATCAAAACAAAACAAAAATAATCATCATAGTATGATACTACAAATTTATAATCCAAGCATTCTGTCTAATCTTGTATCATTATTAACATACATTTATCTTAAAGAAAAAGATTCAATAGAAGTTTAATTCATGTTCATATTCATGCAAATGTATATACTCACTTGTATTTGACTTTCTGTGTTTTGATGTGAACATTTTTGAGAATAATGTTCTTGGTGTACTCCCTTCCTATCTCCCAGCCCTGCCACACAATACTGTCTATAACTTCAATGCCATAATAATTCATTTTTGACAAGCTCATTTGACGGGGGCTTTGTGCGGGCACAAGCTTGGTGGGATCACCCATATGCTGGGCTACTGGCATTCCCACCTCTAGCATGGACGGCATTGTGTTGTTAAAATGTCTGCAGTGAAAAATCAAGAAATCATATGTACATCTACAGGTATCAGTGTTCAACTTCATGCATAAATTGGCAGAGTGATTTTCTTACAAACACACCATTGGAAGGATAAGGGTATCATCAAACCTATCCCTCTTCAGTCCTTAGCCTTAACTTTATTTCTTAGTTTGGGAGTATTTTTGCTATCACCATTGATATTGTTCGAAAGTCGAAAGATAATACCTTAGATATTTCTACTATACAGGCTATTTTTAATCCACTCATTCAACATTAGAGGCTGCTGGTTGGTCTATTTTTTATAACATATATGAAAAGTTATGCTGTAAAGTGTCAATCATAAGTATCGCAGTGTTAAACTTATAACATTGTTGGAGCATAAATAATCCTACAAAATGTAGCTACTAGTTAATATTGACCGATATGCTATGTACATTTAGGTTCAGTGCAACAAAAACACAATAAAATATTAAATATTTCTAAAAGAACTGAGTTTTGATGATACATATGATGAACCCTGTCAAGTTAACTGTTTGTCAACATTGCAATCAGTCATGAAAAACCCTAACTTCATAAACTTTAGGAAACATTTGTTGATAGACAATAACAATAATATCAGTATCATAACAGGACCAGACGCAGCCAAATGCCTATATAATCAAATCAGATGTATTTACAGCCTCTAAGCTGACGTTCCGATAGTAATTAAGTTAAATATTGTCAAGTTTATGATTGTAATAACATTCTGGTTCTGATAACATGATACCGATAGCAAAACATTAACCATGGTCCAATACAAACGAGAAGCATGTCCTCGAGAAATCGATGCATGGAGAGCATACCTTACACCACCATGGAACATATAAAACACCATAGACTGGTCGCCAGTTTATCAAATGTTTGACAAGAGACTGTTGTGCATCCAAAACAGTGCCCTTCTCTTAACGGAAGTATTTTGTTATACTGAATAGCTTTGTATGCTAAAACGAACGTTTTAACATCTTACTAAACATCCCCATTAAGCAAAATATCAAAAAAGGTTAATGTCACAGAAAGCTATCACTCACGAGACAGAATATCCCTCACTCAACACCTTATTTTGAACGTGCAGCCGCCATCTTGTCAACTATTGTAATCAAATATGGCGTCGGTTGCTACGAGACCTCCTAACATATATAACTTGTGTTTGCATCAATTGAGGGATTGAATTGTCTTCACATTTGTGAAAGAATATTATTTATTAGAATATTAGGCATTATCTACACTACTGATATAGTAAGAGTGGTTATGTGACACTTGTTTTGAGGAAAATTCCTATATAGCGACATAAAAAGAGTACTGACAAGGGAGACAACTATCTTAGCAACAAAGGTAATGTTTTGGCGGGAAAATATTTTCCTTAATTTTTATTCCCGATTTCATTTTTGATCGAAATGCAATTTAAACAAGAACCAACCGTCATGCATACATCATGTGCCTATTACAAAGATTTATTTATGAAAATGGTGAGCAAAATGTTCTCCTTTCAAAACAAATTTAAATAAGTGTTCAGTTTACTAAGTAAATGAATATCTACATGTAACGTTAGGCCCTATATATCACAACTAAATTTTTCATTTAATATTCATTTGACAATATTTCTTTAAAAAACATGTTGCAATAGGCTATCTTATTATTATTTATTTGTAATAATCACGTTTCTTCAAGCGCCTCCGTGGCCCAATGGATAAGGCACCGGCCTCCTAAGCCGGGGATTGCGGGTTCGAGTCCCGCCGGAGGTTGTTTATATTTTTAAACCAATTATGTTTTGTCTGAAACAAAACTTGATGTATAAAATTCAAATATTTACATTCTCTATGCTTAGACCCATTGACAAAAATTACATTCATAAGTGCATAACACAGGTGTTCATAGAATCTCAGCACGTGGGAACTGATAGTAACCTGATCACAGTGCGTATTAATACACTACAAAAACTACTTACTCGGAACGACCGACCTAGATGCTTAATTCTTACATCTTAAACTACTATTGAACTGTGCTTTGTGAAATATCCACGTATTCACGTGTCCTGTGCTACAAATAAACATTGAATATGGAACTACATTTTGTTGTGTTGTTGTTGACGGTTGCTAAGATCTCTCACGATAGTGTCCCATTTCCCCGCGAAAAAACACTGTTCTCGCCACTGCGTTGCACCTGTGTATAAGCAGGAACAACTCCTGTTTATTTGTTTTATTCGTTGTTATATCGATCCACTGAAAGGCTTCGTCAATGTAAATATAAGGAATGATATTTATTTTTTCAACATTTATGAGGACATAACAACAATGGGTTTATGGACATAATGAATGAATCGCGTTAGCGATTCATGTAAAATATGTCCAAAAACCCATTGTTGTTATGACCTCATAAATGTTGAAAAAATAAAAATCATTCCTTAATTGAATTGTTGAAAAAAATAACATTATTATGCATCAGAAATAGTTTCCTAGTTCAAATAAAAAATGGATATTGAAACATTCATTATATACATTATTATGCGGGAAAACGACTGCATAACTCGTATGCTCTTGAGAAATGCCGTTTTAAAACAAGCAAAGAAAAACTCAACAAGAAAGGTTCTTAAATGAAATAATGTAAAACAAACGAACATGGAGAAGACAAACGTTAAAACTCTCTAAAATTTATATGCCAAACAAAATAATTAAAAGGCTATGTTTTGTTTTATAGAATTGGAACAAAGTCCCAGTTTTCTGGCATCTGGCATTTGACTGAAAGAAGTAATTTGCAAGTGTTTTACTGCAAATGGTCCGAGCTGAACTGAGGCTGGTTTACGCATTTCATCCATCCGGTAGACGGCCTATATACATTGGCTACAATTATGATGCCACTGGGAAATTATAAGAATTCTGGAGTTAATATTTTTAACACTCTATATATATATATATATATATTGTTTATTTTCTGTTGTCAATATTCTGCAGAACTCATGGGGAACTAAATTAACAATTTTTCATGCATAGTGGCAGATATAAATCGATATATACTTGTCGGGTTATCGGTTGGTGTTGGGGGGGGGGGGGGGGGGGGGGGGGGGGTTGATGCCAGCATCTACACCCCCTATTGTCTATTGCGACATGCTGTGTGCTGATGTACGATTTAGGGTTTTTTTAATCTTATTTTGAAGTTTGTGTTTATGGTGAGGGTCAACCTAGTTTGTTTGTGAAACACGGGTAACGAAGAGGTTGTCAGGTTGTTTTTGGAGTACGGTGAGATAAGAAATCGATTTGGGTGTGTTGCAAGTTGTCCCTGGGGAACTGTAGTCGTCTGATTGGGACGTTGTCTAAGTAAATGTATGACTGTCTGCGTGTTTGTGTTGCCTCTAGTATTTTATGCGAGGTCGTGGATGAATGTGGTGTGTTGTGTTTTATTAAATCTTGAGAAGCAAACTCAGTGTTAAGGGTTCTATGCTAACTAGGTTATTGTTATCTTCGATTTTTCATCGTGGCGCTTGTGATGACATGTTCAATAAGCGTGTATGAGTCTCAGTTGACCGATAATGAAAAGTGGTTTAAAAGATTGTGATTTACTCCTTTCGTAAATTGGGCTGACTTTTGAGGCTTGCATTTATTTGCAGTTGTATTTTTTACGAGTTGTTTCTTTCCTGATTGTTCTAATGAAGTAAGGATTTTCTAATAACACTAACTACACAGGAGTCTGCAGTTGTATTTTTTACGAGTTGTTTCTTTCCTGATTGTTCTAATGAATTAAGGATTTTCTAATAACACTAACTACACAGGAGTCTGCAGTTGTATTTGTTACGAGTTGTACGTTTTTGTTTCAAAGTTCTGAGAGTTGTGCCGTTTCTAATGAACAATAATGAAGAAATTTCTAACAACACTAATTCCATAGATATGCAAATGTTTTAGATTTTATCACCACATATGCAATCCAATTCCCATTTTAAAGATATGTCTTACTCCTGTGTAGTTTCGACATGCGTTGCTTGTTGTATTTGCACGTACTTTAGCTTTGATGGTTTTGTACTATGAGTGATCAGGTGGTTTGTACGTCTTTTGGAGTGAAGACAATTGAAGGGATTTATGAGGCGACAGAGGGAGTCCTCCATGCGAGTCAATGACGTAAGTCAGGACCTTTGTACCATGGCTTTGTTTACAGATTTATGACGCCTTTGACTTTTAGTCTATTTGTTGGCCAATTGTATCTTTTTTTTATTTGGCTTTGATGCAGATGCAGCTGTTCCATGGAAACGGAGAACCCAACCATAACATGTTTGGTGCAGCTTTTTGTCTTTTGTTTTGGATGATTGATCTTTTACCACTGATTCTTCTGACCAAATCATACACGTTTTATATACAAGTATACATATGTAAATATGTATTTGAATTAAGTTTAAACACATCGATTTTCAAGGATTTATTTAGTTAAGTTCTTTTGATTGTATTGTGTGGAAGCTGTAGCTCTCTATTTGACAGAAACAGCTGACGGAAGACATCATGACTGGTGACGCATTTTGTGTAAAATCGCCATACCTTCCGAAGCCTCTGGTCATACTGTCTCTCATCATCCAGGAAGCAGAAGACACTATTCTCCTTGTACTTTTCAAGGGTCTCCATGTAAATTATTCCTTTGTTTTTATTTTGCCTTAGTTTTAACGATTTTGAGTTCGAAGTTTAGTTTTGTTGGTACTTTGGCATTCTTTTGTTGTTGTTTTTTGCGCATCCTCGGTCTCTCGGATATATATCGACTGTAGATTGGAGTGTTAGTCCTGTGGCAAAGCGTTTGTTTCTAATTACATTTGGAAAATCTCTTCATTTATATTATATATCGATCTGGAGAACCGCGATATAACAGCACAACATTAAGCTACGTTATGAAGATCTTTGAATTAATTTATTTGAGAAAAAAATAATAATGACCATTACGGTATCACGAGGCACACCCATAAACTACACGCATGCATCTCGCACACAGGGAAGGCCGTCCTTAAACTCAAGCTGTTGATTGGACGGTAAACAATACTAAACAAAAACCAAACCAATCGTCGATGAAGTAGAGAACCATATTACTTTTGCACTCTGTTTTATTATGCTTGTATATTTTGCAAGGGTCCTTGTTCTGTTGTTAAATGATAGATATATACTGAGAACATGTAGTTCTCTATATATTATGTCTAGGGGTAGGGTTGTCTATAAACGTAAACATACCACACTAAAGCATTACACGTTCAGTAAATTATTTACATTTCGGAGTATACATTTATAAGCTTTCCCTGGTTATGGAATGCACGTGTTAAAGTATACACAAAAACAAATTTAAATTTAAGTATTCTATAGACAGTTGCGTCCCTTTCACCAATAAATACGTAAGCACGATTTACAACCTGGGAGGCTTAACTCTGCGAGGAAGAAATGCCCTCACACAATGACCTGGTTTTGTTCTATGAAATATTACACTATGTACCATATGTGGTACAGAAAACACCTTTGACACATGTTTTCACCTCAGGTTTTGGGGACAGACATTGTCGTCGTCCGTTTTTACTGCTGATAACTGTTGTTGCCTTATATCAGTTCGATCTCACTTTTATAATTCTCACTAGCTTACCTTGTGGTTTGGCTGTCACTACCTGAGTTCTCGATGCGTGGACGTGAGCGTGGCATTTCTTGGATTTGACCTAGATTACATGGCGGGTGTCATCGATGGAGCAGATGACGCTTACACTTCCGAAACACCTGGTCTGATTCTCCTTGTTCTTTTAAAGGATCTCCATGTTAATCTTTCCTTTGTTCATAATTTGATCTAGATGGCTTTGATTACACTTCGGAATTCCCTTGCTGTGTTTTGATGCAAATATTTGCCATCTGTTAAACTTCTTAACTTCTTTCTGTCCAAAATATGTCCACCCTATTTCACGGTTTATGTAAGGTAAAACTAACTACCATAGGTTATGGACGGATTTAATCCATCAATATATGGAGTACAACTAATATGGACGTCTATGGATGCCAAGTCTAATATTATCAATTCATCGGAATTGTGTTATTTTAGGGGGAAATAATGCTTTTCAACTGTACTATATTAACAACGATATCGATTGTATCTAAGTTTCGTCTTTTATGTGGTCAGCATTGGAAACGTGCTTTGTAAATACTGCTGTGTTTTAGTTTGTATAGTCCCACCTTCCATCAGCATTGTGTTAATGTGTGACACGATATGAATGATACCAAATCAACTTTGTTTTCTTGGGACGAGAAGAGGTTCCTTTAAAGAAAACCCGTAAGTTGTGAAATAGAAAATGATATCACATCTTATAAATGCATAATAAATGAAAAAAAAAAGATTTTCAACACGAGAAGACAAACGCGTGTACTATTTCAGAGAGTACCTTGTTTTGACCCAGAATTCTTTAGACGTGTATATGTTTTCCCTTTTGTGTTTGATTTCTCAGTAATAGTTTGCCTTCACGAGCTGCTCTTAGTTCGACCTTGTGGTGAACTGTTCTATTTTTTTTAAATGACTTTTAATTTTTAACATAATTTGAAACAAACTTATAGAGGACGTTGTAACCACTGTTGACATGTATTTGTCTTTGGACATGGGCTGATAAGGAGAGTTACTGTGTCAGTGTTTCTGAGGTCGTCATTTCCACACCGACAGCTGACACCATGGGCCGCCTTCTGCTTTTACTCACGCTCACCTGTTTAATAGGTGCTGGTAGGTAGTAGGAAGTATTCTGAGCATGCTTTTAAATATGAAACGTAAAAACCATTGCTGGATCCTTTGTGTTTTTTCAGCTGTTTTTTGCTTGTCTTTATATAAACTTTATTTATTTTACAACAATTATGAAACTGACATTGATCGCTCTTGTTGCTCCGGATGTTAGCGCAGGGGAGGGGGGGGGGGGGGGGGGGGNCGACCCCCCGGCCGCCTCGGTGAAAGGCGAGTGCATTATCCACTGCACCACTCGTCGTAACAAATGCTACTGTCTGGTTACTGTTCAATGTGTCAAACGTCTTATATTTATACGCTAGAGAATCATTTTAATTTTACCATCAAACCTTGCATTTCATTTACATTTCAAAATAAGGAAATAATAATAAGTACGATTTTAATATAGCATGCGATATGTGTTTCTTGTGTTCGCTTAAGCTTGCCACTTTCCCTGTTCTGTCTATAATGAAGTGACTTTACTTGGATTTAGCCTAGATTTTCACGAGGGGCTATCGTTTATAAAGCAGACGACACTTACTATTCCGGAACACCTGATCTTATTCTCCTTGTACTTTTTCAGGGGTGTCCATGTAAATTATTCCTTTGTTTACACATTGCCATAGTAACTTGACTTTGAATTTTTGGGAGTTTATTGCAATATTTATTGCTGTGTCAAATCGGCTAGCTATTGTATCTTACGATCGAGCACTGATTCAGCCTCTGACCTCGCTCGGTGTCGCTGAACGGATGAGCGAGTTCAATGGTTTTCACGCATCACTAAAAACTGTAGCTTGCTAGTACGAAGTATTTTCCCCTCAAATTCCTTGGCTGTTACCTAACTCTTTTCATCCGAGACCTGACCTTGGGAATCCGGTGAGTTCTATCTGTGTACCCAAGCACCTTCAATGCCCATATGAAACTGCCTTACAATGAACCACATGATCATATCTGCCTAACACGGAACCACATGATCATATCTGCCTAACACGGAACCACATGATCATATCCGCCTTACAATGAACCACAGGGTCATATCCGCCATACAAGGAACCACAGGGTCATATCCGCCTGAGACGGTACCACATGATCATATCCGCCTTACAAGGAACCATATCATCATATCCGCTTTACAAGGTACCACAGGGTCATATTTGCCTAACACGGTACCACAGGGTCATATCCGTATTACAATGTACCACGGGGTCATATCCGCCATACAATGAACTACAGGGCCATATTCGCCATACAATGAACCACATGATCATATCCGCCTGACAAGGTACCACGGGGTCATATCCGCCATACAAGGTACCACAGGGTCATATCCGCCTTACAAGGTAATGAACCACATCAACATATCCGCCTGACACCACATCAACATATCTGCCTTACAAGGTACCACAGGGTCATATCCGCCTTACAATGAACCACAGGGTCATATCCGCCATACAATGAACCACATCAACATATCCGCCTGACAAGGTAACACAGGGTCATATCCGCCTTACAAGGTACCACAGGGTCCTATCCGCCATACAATGAACCACATCAACATATCTGCCTTACAAGGAACCACAGGGTCATATCCGCCATACAAGGTACCACAGGGTCATATCCGCCATACAATGAACCAAAGGGTCATATCCGCCATACAATGAACTACAGGGACATATCCGCCATACAATGAACCACATGATCATATCCGCCTGACAAGGTACCACAGGGTAATATCCGCCATACAATGAACCACAGGGTCATATCCGCCATACAAGGTACCATACAATGTACCACATGATCATATGAACCACATCAACATATCCGCCTGACAAGGTAACACAGGGTCATATCCGCCTTACAAGGTACCACAGGGTCATATCCGCCATACAATGTACCACATGATCATATCCGCCTTACAATGAACCACAGGGTCATATCAGCCATACAAGGTACCACAGGGTCAAATCCGCCTTACAAGGTACCACAGGGTCATATCCGCCATACAATGTACCACATGATCATATCCGCCTTACAATGAACCACAGGGTCATATCCGCCATACAAGGTACCACATGATCATATCCGCCTAACATGACCACTTGATCATATCCGCCTGACAAGGTATCACGGGGGCATATCCGCCTTACAAGGTACCACAGAGTCTTATCCGCCAGACAATGTACCACATGATCATATCCGCCTTACAATGAACCACAGGGTTATATCCGCCTTACAATGTACCACATGATCATATCCGCCTTACAATGAACCACAGGGTCATACCCGCCATACAAGGTACCACAGGGTCATATCCGCCATACAATGAACCACAGGGCCATATCCGCCTTACACGGTACCGCAGGGTCATATCCGCCTTACAAGGTACCACAGGGTCATATCCGCCATACAATGAACCAGAGGGTCATATCTGCCATACAATGAACTACAGGGTCATATCCGCCATACAATGAACCACAGGGTCATATCTGCCTTACATGGTACCACATCATCATATCCGCCTGACAAGGTACCACATCATCATATCCGCCTGACAAGGTACCACAGGGTAATATCCGCCATACAATGAACCACAGGGTCATATCCGCCATACAATGAACCACAGGGCCATATCCGCCTTACACGGTACCGCAGGGTCATATCCGCCTTACAAGGTACCACAGGGTCATATCCGCCATACAATGAACCACAGGGTCATATCCGCCATACAATGTACCACATGATCATATCCGCCTTACAATAAACCACATCATCATATCCGCCTGACAAGGTACCACAGGGTCATATCCGCCTTACAAGGTACCACAGGGTCATATCCGCCTTACAAGGTACCACCTGATCATATCTGCCCTACAAGGTACCACGTGGTCATATCCGCCTTACAAGGTACCACATGATCATATCTGCCTTACAAGGTACCACGGGGTCATATTTGCCTTACAAGGTACCACGGGGTCATATCCGACTTACAATGTACCACATGATCATATCCACCTTACAATGTACCAAAGGGTCATATCTGCCTTACAAGGTACCACGGGGTCATTTCCGACTAACAATGTACCACAGGGTCATATCTGCCTTACACGGTACCACGGGGTCATATCCGCCTTACAAGGTACCACAGGTTTATATCCGCCTTACACGGTACCACATCATCATATCCGCCTTACAAAGTACCACAGGGTCATATCTGCCTAACACGGTACCACGGGGTCATATCCGACTTACAATGTGCCGCATGATTATATCCGCCTTACAATGTTCCACGGGGCCATATCCGACTTACAAGGTACCACGGGGTCATATCCGACTTACAAGGTATCACGGGGTCATATCCTACTTACAAGGTACCACGGGGTCAAATCCGACTTACAATGTACCACATGATCATATCCGCCTTACAATGTACCACGGGGACATATCCGACTTACAAGGAACCACGGGGTCATATCCGACTTAAAAGGTATCACGGGGTCATATCCTACTTACAAGGTACCACGGGGTCATATCCGACTTACACGGTACCACGGGGTCATATCCGAATCACAATGTACCACATGATTATATCCACCTAACAATGTACCACGGGGTCATATCCGACTTACAAGGTACCACGGGGTCATATCCGATTTACAAGGTATCACGGAGTCATATCTGACTTACAAGGTACCGCAGGGTCACAGCGAGCGATACCTACCCAGTCACTTACCACACTTGATTTTGATAAAGTAGTGAAGGCTGCTTTGATGGAAAAGCTAGCTTACCAGTAAAACAGTATTTCACTCTTATTTGCCTTTGCTGCTATAGAATCATTAAAGTTATGTTACAATTAATTATCATTATAATTTTCATTAAATGCTGATTTCTCACCCTTACGCTTATGGTGCAATTCATTAAGATGCTACTTGTCATTTGATCCTAATTTCCTATCCTTACAGTTATTGTACGATTCATAAGATTATACTTGTCATTTAGTCCTGCTTTCCCACCTAACAGTTATGATACGATTCGGTAAGATAAAACTTGTCATTTAATCCTGCTTTCTATCCTGACAGTTATGATACAATCAATCTAATTAAAATCAGATCTCTCATTAAACTACGTTATGGAGTAACGTAGTGTAATTAGAGATCTGCTTTTAGTTAGATTGTGATACAATTCGTTAAGATAAAACTTGTCATTTTATCATGCTTTCCTATCCTTACAGTAATGGTACAAGCACAACTCATAACACAGTTCCAAATCTGTGAGATGCAATGCTTCCAGGATAAGAATCTCCCAAGCGGTGTGACGTTTGATAACCAGGAGGCCGCAGAATGCCGAGATTATTGTGTTTTACACGCGTGAGTACAGAAACGTCGAAATAGTTTCTTCTATGTGAGGATTCATCTTGACTTTCCTTTTGTTTTGGTGTCTCATCTGTTTATTCTGCTTATTACTATTGGTACTGAAATGTCGAAATATTCTCTTTTATGTGGATGTTCATGTTGTTTTTCCTTTTGTTTTGGTGTCTCCGCTGTTGAAGTGTCGAAATATTCTCTTCTATGCGGATGTTCATGTTGTCTTTCCTTTTGTTTTGGTGTCTCCTCAGTTCATTCTCCTTATTCGGGTTGGTACTGAAGTGTCGAACTCGTCTCCTTTATGCGGATGTTCATGTTGTCTTTCCTTTTGTGTTGGTGTTTCCTCAGTTCATTTTCCTTATTCGTGTTGGTACTGAAGTGTCGAAATATTCTCTTCTATGCGGATGTTCATGTTGTCTTTCCTTTTGTGTTGGTGTTTCCTCAGTTCATTTTCCTTATTCGGGTTGGTACTGAAGTGTCGAATTCGTCTCCTTTATGCGGATGTTCATGTTGTCTTTCCTTTTGTTTTGGTGTCTCCTCAGTTCATTCTCCTTATTCGGGTTGGTAGTGAAGTGTCGAACTCGTCTCCTTTATGCGGATGTTCATGTTTTCTTTCCTTTTGTTTTGGTGTCTCCTCAGTTCATTCTCCTTATTCGTGTTGGTACTGAAGTGTCGAAATATTCTCCTTTATGCGGATGTTCATGTTGTCTTTCCTTTTGTGTTGGTGTTTCCTTAGTTCATTCTCCTTATTCGTGTTGGTACTGACGTGTCGAATTCGTCTCCTTTATGCGGATGTTCATGTTGTCTTTCCTTTTGTGTTGGTGTTTCCTCAGTTCATTTTCCTTATTCGTGTTGGTACTGAAGTGTCGAATTCGTCTCCTTTATGCGGATGTTCATGTTGTCTTTCCTTTTGTGTTGGTGTTTCCTCAGTTCATTTTCCTTATTCGTGTTGGTACTGAAGTGTCGAATTCGTCTCCTTTATGCGGATGTTCATGTTGTCTTTCCTTTTGTGTTGGTGTTTCCTCAGTTCATTTTCCTTATTCGTGTTGGTACTGAAGTGTCGAATTCGTCTCCTTTATGCGGATGTTCATGTTGTCTTTCCTTTTGTGTTGGTGTTTCCTCAGTTCATTTTCCTTATTCGTGTTGGTACTGAAGTGTCGAATTCGTCTCCTTTATGCGGATGTTCATGTTGTCTTTCCTTTTGTGTTGGTGTTTCCTCAGTTCATTTTCCTTATTCGTGTTGGTACTGAAGTGTCGAATTCGTCTCCTTTATGCGGATGTTCATGTTGTCTTTCCTTTTGTGTTGGTGTTTCCTCAGTTCATTTTCCTTATTCGTGTTGGTACTGAAGTGTCGAATTCGTCTCCTTTATGCGGATGTTCATGTTGTCTTTCCTTTTGTGTTGGTGTTTCCTCAGTTCATTTTCCTTATTCGTGTTGGTACTGAAGTGTCGAATTCGTCTCCTTTATGCGGATGTTCATGTTGTCTTTCCTTTTGTGTTGGTGTTTCCTCAGTTCATTTTCCTTATTCGTGTTGGTACTGAAGTGTCGAATTCGTCTCCTTTATGCGGATGTTCATGTTGTCTTTCCTTTTGTGTTGGTGTTTCCTCAGTTCATTTTCCTTATTCGTGTTGGTACTGAAGTGTCGAATTCGTCTCCTTTATGCGGATGTTCATGTTGTCTTTCCTTTTGTGTTGGTGTTTCCTCAGTTCATTTTCCTTATTCGTGTTGGTACTGACGTGTCGAATTCGTCTCCTTTATGCGGATGTTCATGTTGTCTTACCTTTTGTGTTGGTGTTTCCTCAGTTCATTCTCCTTATTCGTGTTGGTACTGAAGTGTCGAAATAGTCTCTTCTATGTTGCGGTTTATGTTGACTTTCTTTTGTTTTGATGTCTCCTCCTTTCGTTTAATAATCTGATCGTAAAATTTTCTGACTTGTACTGAATATTTAAACGGCTTTATTATACGAATGCTGACATGTTTTGATTGTGCATTATACGTATTTTTGAAAGGATTTTAATTCATACTTGTTTGCGAAACATTCGAATTCGAGATTGCCGGTCCAGCAAAATACGTGAAATTGCCTAGCCCACGAAATCGCATTCATTTACAGTATATGATTTTTGTTTTGTTTCAGATATGACCACATAATGGGCTGATTGAAACATCCTTTGTCCGGCGATACCCACTGGGCATTTATATCAATTATCTATTGATGTTTTATCATATGGAAAAATACAATTAAATACTTATTCGTAAACATTGCTTGTTGGTGTCATTTTAAACAAATTAATGTCACCTATAGTCTTCTCAAAACGACGTTTAACCCCCTTTCGTCCTTGTAAGTTGCGCCCCCTTTTTTCTCTTGTCAGTTGTGTTCTGTTTTTGTCCTTGTATAAAACAATTTAAAAGCATATCGGTCGGGTATAGTACAGAAGCCGATCAGGTTCCGGAACGGTCCTTTTTTAATTAGTGTTTTTATATCCTTTATTTGTTTATTTATTTTGATAAAGATGAAAATATAGAGTGACGTTTGATCTATATTTTCATATTTGATACATTTGTGTAGAAATCATCAACTCACATGAAAATGTGAAATTTCGTGACTTTTGGACTCAAAGTCTAACCAAAGTAAGTGAAATGAAAAATGGAGGTCACGCAGCAACCATTACCCGATATAAGTGAGTGACACAGGCATAAGCCATACTAAATAGATAAAAAAAGATCCGGTAACGAACCTGATCGGCCTCTGTGTCACTCACTTATATCGGGTAATGGTTGCTGCGTGACCTCCATTTTTCATTTCACTTACTTTGGTTAGACTTTGAGTGTTTAACTCAAAGCTCAAATAATAGAAGTTCAGAAGTCATGAAATTTCACATTTTGATGTGATTTGATGATTTTTACACAAATATATCAAATATGAAAATATAGATCAAACGTCACTCTATATTTTCATCTTTTTTCCCCATTGGAAATCATTTGTTGCTTATTAATCAAGTATAGGTCACTATGACCTTTCTTTTCCACTCCAATGACTTTGGTTAGAATTTACGTTTAGCCTTATTAATTTAATTTAAAAAAGTATTCCCTTATTCTTCATATACTACGGAACTCTTTAGACAATTCTTTTGCAGTCTAGATCTTTAGTAGCACTGTGGAGTATTAAATGGAAGAAAGGTCTGTTAGGAACAGCATAATATTTACTTTGTAAGCCTACTGCATCGAGAAATAATATGTATAAAGTAACTTATGATACGAACAGCGTTTTTAATATGTAACTAAATTGAACATACCTGTGATATGTATTGAAGTTACCTTTTATACACGAGTTTTGTTAGAAATAACGATACATAATAAATTATCTTACTACATTACTGACCCATTTTACTATGCCATACGACCATGTCATAAATATGGTATTACACATGTGTAATAAAACCTAATGGTGCTGCGAAAGCGTGGTCAAAACTGTGGGAACACATTCCTACGCTACTACAGATGCTTTCCCTATTAACTGTACAGCATAATTCATTTGCTGTTATTATAATGTATATTTTGTCATTACTTTTTTCATTGCATTTTAAAATGTACATTGTAAGATAAAAATCGGGAAAAATCTTAACTACTTTGCACTGATGGGAACGCCAATTCTATGATCATAGTACTTTGGTGTTAAACCAATGGAGTCAGCTGATTACACATAATTGTGTTTAATTTATTTTTTCAAATTATGTGATAAATAGAATTTCACATTCGTGTCATTGATGTCTTGAATTTATTAAACTCGTTCAATAAATTCAGTATGACATAGACACGAATGTAAGATTCTATATCTATATATAAATACGTGTGATGTTAGTAAACATTGGGGAGGAAAAGCCTGATCCAATCTAGGAGAAATCACTGCATGCATGTAAATACTCAATATAAGTTATACCTGTGGCTGATGGAAAATATTTGCCCGGTTTCCAGGTTTGAAAATAAGTTACATTGTTACAGTAACGTTCTATGTATCTCCTTAAATATGTAATTGTGGCACAGATGCGTGAACACCCACTATGGTTACGAGGGTTATTTCATAAATTCTATCATCACACAGCTCCCGTTCACACGGGCAATATAATAGATCAGCTCCTTGGAAGACTGTACCATTATTTAAAAGTGCACCTGCAAAACAATCGACTTCATCCGACAAGAGATAAACAATTTATTATTAAAAGATTTGATTCGTGACTAGTGGCCACTTTCCGATGTTGAAATACAGGTTAAGACTAAATCTGAAATACACTCCTATGTTAAAGTACACGGTGCTTTACATATACCCCCAAAACAGATACATGCATAGTTGCACAGGATAAAAAAACACCTCTTCCATTGCATTGAGAACTGTTTTCAGGTGGGTGAACAAATTAAAGAATGGTAAAGTTGATATCAAAGAGGAAACTTGTCCAGACAGGGTAGTTGTTGCAGCATCACAGAAGAATATTGCTGCTACGAAAGTAACAATTGAGGATGATGTCGTTATGCTGTTTCTGAAATAGTTCATGTGGCTGCCATTTCAGAAGGCAGTAAAATCACATCTGATCAATTGCTTTGAATTAAAGAAGCAGTGGATCACCCATTTGCTCACATCTAACCAAAACGCCAAACTTTTGAAATATGCTAAAAGTACAAGTATGGTTATTGCGACTCCAAGTAAATAATTGGATGGCATTCAACTAATCCACGACAATGCTTCATCCCATAACAGCAATATTGCACAGGCGCTTTTGGAGCAAGATAATGTAGTTACTGTGATTTTCTTTTCCACTTCATTGACTTTGGTTAGAATTTACGTTCAGTTCCACTACCCTGATAATAGAAATCCAGCAGCCATCAAACTTGGCGTGTTGAGTGATACATCTTGATGCTTTCTTCACAGCTATCACTAATATAGGTCACTGTGGCATTTGTCTCACTTCGCTGCATGACTTTGGTTAGAATTTACGTTCAGTTCCATTACCCTGATAATAAAAGTCCAACAGTCATCACACCTTAACGATGGATAGATCATGATAGCCGTAATTAACCAATGAAAAGTGTCGTTACATCGCAAACGTGGATGCATTGTGGATAGATCCCATGAGCTACCTATAACACACCAGCATATCAAGTCACTGCGACCGTTTTTTCTGCTTCACTGACTTAGATGAAACCGGCAGTACGCTCAATTAATTTTATGCTAATTGTACAACTGTGTCTATGTCTATCAATGCGGGAGCAAGAACATATGTATAATTTATAAAACATTTTCTTGTTCAAAATAGTTTTAATTGATTAATCATATTGATTTTATGCATGCTTTAATATTCATATACTACTCTTCAGACATTCTTTTCAGACTGGAGGAAATGGCCGTATGGCACGGTATAGTGTTAAGTTTGTTAGGCTTACCCCATGCTATGATACGAACAACATACTGACCAAGTAGTAAACATCGAGTCATTTCGTTACATACATAACTATTGTGCATACGCTTACAGCGTAGCTGAATCGACATCGATTTTGTGGACAACTCGTACACATTTTACACCTTTGTGTGCATACGCTTCACTGGTCATTTGTCTGATGAATGTGACAATGTACATATCGTACTAGTCATCGAAACGTCACATATACAATTTTATTGGTTGTGTAAAAGAACTTATCATATTCCATACTTACCAACATGAAGAAAATGTTTAGAAAGAACAGCGTTTTTTGTTTTGAATAAGTAAACATTAAATTGAATATACCTGTGATATGAATTAAAGTTTTATATTATACATATTTTGTGGGGAATAACGATTTATAATGAACTATAGTATGTATATACAACATACCTATGCTTTTTGTTTAGATAGTGAAAAAGCCTGATCCAATCTATAGATACTAAATATAAGTTATACCTGTCGATAGTGGAAAATATTTGCCAGGTTTCCCGGGTGGAACATGAGATACATTGTCATGTTCTACGTCTCTTTATAGCTATGTCATTGGTATCGTTAGCTGGACGAGGGCCATTCAATACATGGTCACCACAAAGCTCCCGTTCAAACGGACAATAGAAAAGTTTCGCTCCTTGAAAGAATTCTGACATTATCCGACAAGATTTTAACAAGTTATTCATTGCCGAAAGGTACGCACTCGTGACTAGTGGCTACTTTTCAATGTTAAAATGAAGGTTGAGACTAAATCTGAAATACACTCCTATATAAGATCACGTGGTGCTTTACAGATAATCCCAAAACAGATACATAAATAGTTGTGCAGCACAAAAGGCACGTCTGTCGTCGCATTGAGAACTGTTTTCAGGATGGAGAACAAATTCAAGAATGGTAAAGTTGTCATCAAAGAAGACACGCGGCCAGGCAGGCCAGTTGATGCAGCATTAAAGAAGAACATTGCTGCTGTGAAAGCAATACTTGAGGATGATGGCCGTTATACTGTTTCTGAGATAGCTTATATGGCTGACATTTCAGAAGGCAGTAAAATCACATCTGATCAAGTGCTTTGAATTAAACATTTGCTGACACATGGACAAAAGGCCAAACGTTTGAAATGTGCTAAAAATATATTGAAAAAGTATGGTTATTGCGACCCCATGTAATGATTGAATGGCATTCAACTAATTCACGACAATGCTTCATCCCAGAAACGTAATATTGTTTAGACGCTTTAGGGGCAAGAGGTGGTAGTACAGATTGACTGCCTAACCTATTCACCAGTTCTAAGTCTCTAAGACTTCTTCCTGTTTCTTTAACTAGAGAAAAAAAGTGCACTGGGAAGTGCAATCTTCCTGTTTCTCGCCAGTATACCAAGGGTGACTACCGAACAGCGTTTACGGTATGGAAAGTGTCATTGCAAAAGTGAGGTTTTGCTAAAAGGATATGTTCAAAGGATTGTGATAGCAAGATCTAACTGTAAACACCATACATGTGATTTCTTACACTCGTGACAGAATGTATTGAATGGCCCTTGTATCTATGTATCAGTGGTTGTATCTATGACAGGCCTACCTAGTCTCTGTGTCTGGGGTTTATCATACTGTTGGGACTTCTCAGTTCATTAATCGGTCGCTGAATATGTTATCTGAGGTAGATCGTTTATCAATAATTGAGTATTTTTCCATATAAGTGATAGGGTGGGTGGGTGCGAATAAATTAGTAATGTAATTTTAAAAAGGAAGTTCGTCTCGAATGATATCAACGCTATATATCAGATATAGACAGACAGATA